GCTGGCTCCCTTCATCAAATATGAGGCGAACAACTTTTGACCCCTTCGGCCCAAGCACTCGAACTACCAAAGTTTTCATTAAAACATCTGTACGACACGTATGATTGGCATTTTGGGCGCTGGTGACTGGAACCGTGGCTTGATTCTGGTTTGGATGGCACACTTCATTTCTTCGTTCAATTTTCTTTTGATTAATTGGTAGAGTGGGACACATCGATCTAACATGAGATTCTTCACAAAAATTACACTTTAATTTTACTTTGCAATCCTTTGATCGATGTCCACCAAGCATGCACCTGAAACACAATCTATTTTTCTTCAAAATGTCACTCTTTTCACTCCAAGACAGATTCTTCTCTGCTCGATAGCACTCGGTGCTCCGATGATTACTTTTTCCACAGAATACACACGATGCACCTTGACCTACAAATAGGCCAGCCCCAGTCGGAATATCTTCTTGGTTGGAGAGCTTGTTGTGGCAATCCTTCTTTTTCTTATTAACGTGTAGAGTAGAGAATCCAGACTGGACAAGAGCTCTCTGATCCTCAAATTCTACTTCTTTCTTCAAAAATTGCATAATGAAATCTAACTCGTTCTTGGGGGGATTAAAAGTTGATCCATCAGCACCATTTAAGGGGCTTCGCTGCCATGCGATGAGAGTCTCCTCCGGTAGACTTGATTCCACCATCGGGTAAATAAATAGAGCAGCCTGATCAGCAGTCACTTTTAAGGATTCTAGCGCTCTGAGTGCCGACTCCATCTTATCATGAAATTTTGATAGTTGCACCTTTTGACTTTGAATTGTTGATCACTATCTTCAGTAGATCTCGAACATAGACTTGGACAAGCAATTTTTCTTTACCGAATCGCTCTTGAAGCGCATTGATAGCTTTAGGATAATTTTGTGCCGTTGGTGGGTAACTATTTACTAATTCGTAGGCTCTTGTGCCCTTTTCCATTGACTGAAGTAAATAGTGGAACTTATCCGCAACGTCAAGATCATCATCCTCGTGTATTTTCTTGAATAGCGACCACCAGCCCAACCAATCTTTTAATTCTCCTCCAAATTTCTTCAATTCAATCTTGGGGAGCTTAAAAGTTCTCTTCTTATGTTGAGAGTTGCCCGATGCTGTACTATACTCACTGCTACTTGGTGATGATGGTCTTGCGTCAGGATTAATTGTTTTACTCAATTTTCTCTTCATATCTCGAACTCGGTCTCGATATTCCTCTACTGGTAGACTTTCTTGTTCCAGTTCTTCATCTGTACATGATGCCTCAAGCATTGCGTCCAAAATCTTATTATCGATAACGATGACATCCGGCATCAACTCCTCCAACTTATCAAGCTTGGATTGAAGCACTTCTCGATCCGGTTCATCCTTTTCAAATTCCATCTTCGCTTCATTCACCGCTCTCGTCAGCGCTGCGCGAAGTGGGGCTCTCCTCCGTCGTAACTGATCCATGTTGAACCTCAGTAGATCAACAAACCCAAGAAACGAACAAATATTAATATATTGTCAATAAGACACAAAATTGGACAGATATCCACCTCAAATGCTCCCGAATGCTCAGGAGCTGGCCCTCAAAGAGGCAAAATACGTGAATCCACAGTTGGTGAAATAGAGCGGCTCCTCCTCCTCGAATCTCCTTTGAATCCGGAAGGGCTGATGGGGCACCGTCCTCTAACTTCCACCACAAGAACAATTGCTTATCAAACCACGAAGCCCACCCGGGGGCGCCAAATGTTGCGAAGGGAATATATCAGCTACCCGCTGATAGCTTTCGCGAATTGTGGGTGAGGTTTTGATAAGGTCTGCTTTCCGATGGCAACACAAAATAAACCCAATGCACACTTATCGGCTAGGGTTATTTACTTAAACTGGATTTTATTTAATTGAATCCCAATTTTACTAATATTTTACAAAAAATGGCGAGAGAGCTAAAAAACATAACTGACTCTCTGCTCATAACAGCGTAAACTGACGACTTTCTCTTGCCAAATTCTTGCGGGAACTTTGCATGAAAACGTGGTGTGGGAAAAATGAGATTTCTCAGAACTCACTACTATAATCATTTACAATATATGTAGTTATTTATTTTGTTGGGTTGTGGTTGGTTTTAAGTGGGAGGAGGAGGTGGGCGTGAAACTTAGGAGGGGAGCTTGCGAGGTTGATAATAACAGATATTGGTGCCCTTTGGATATGTGGTAGGGACCCATGAGTGTACTAAAACCCTGAAGTAGTTTGACTCCATGGCCACATTTGCGCCCGCCACACCCACTCAAAAATGCCCAAAAAACGCTTTCACTCGAGTTTTCACTCACTCAAATCCACGTCAAAAATCCAATTTTACTCGGATTTTGAAATTTCTTTCACCATTATACTCCCAGATAGTTGCTTTCTTCAATCCAATATCAAACTCAATTTTTCGAAATTTTTAGTATTTTTAAAATTTAAAATTCTGAATGAGCATTGTTGTAGTCATCAACAAAACAAATTATGTTTGCGAAATAATCATCAATAAAATTGAGTTTGATATTGGATTGAAGAAAGCAACTATCTGGGAGTATAATGGTGAAAGAAATTTCAAAATCCGAGTAAAATTGGATTTTTGACGTGGATTTGAGTGAGTGAAAACTCGAGTGAAAGCGTTTTTTGGGCATTTTTGAGTGGGTGTGGCGGGCGCAAATGTGGCCATGGAGTCAAACTACTTCAGGGTTTTAGTACACTCATGGGTCCCTACCACATATCCAAAGGGCACCAATATCTGTTATTATCAACCTCGCAAGCTCCCCTCCTTAGAGGACTTGTGGATAAATGTGTTGTTGTCGGTCTGTTGATCAGATCCGACTGAGCGAGAAGAAGAGAGTACCGCGGTGGCCAGTCACGATGGTTCAGTGGTGGGGCGAGTTGCATTGCTGGAAGACGGACCCAGGGATCATACTAACACTTTATTATTAGTGACTAGCGTATAGCCCGGCCAAGGCCGGGTTCTAGAGTGGGGGGTGTGCCCAAAGCGAAAAATCCGTCATACTATACTTTAAATAATTCGCAGTGAAGACTTTGTCATACTACATACATACATCAGAGTGAGGGTTTGCCCAAATCATACTGCATTTTAATTAACCTGGTCACAGTACAATTTAATTTCCCCCTGTGGGGGTAGTTGAATAGTTAATTACTTAAATTCCCGTCGCGTGGGAGTAACTGCATAGCTAACTATTTAAATTCCCACGCTTCACGCTCCCGTTAAGTTCCATAAACCCCGTTAACTTCTACAATTAACGCCAAGCTATTGACGGATTCGGATTCAGCATCAAAAATACATTCGAATTGATATGCGACATAACGAATAAGCCATATTTGGACACCACGGTCACGGCAAGGTCACGGGGGCCTCGGAGGTCAAAACCATTAATGGCGTTGGATTCAGCGTAAAAAATACATTCGAATTGATATGCCACTCGCTGTGGGTGGAGTTTCTCAAACTAAAATAATTAATTAATAGTGTTTATCAAGATCACTTATCATGATAACCACTATTGATGAGTGATGTATGTATGTATACTGCTCACTCACTCAATTTACTTGCACACTGCAAATATACAAAGACATTTAATTTGAGATTGATGGCAAGCGTACGTGAAAGTCACGTGCAGGAGAAGTGAGACTCATGCAGAAAATTCATGCATGCAACCGTTGCTCCGCGTCCTTCTTTGTCTCCTCTACGGGGCAATTTGCATTGAGAGCCACAGGGACCCAGGCAGAACTTAACACTAACGCTTTATGGAAGTAGATGAGAATCTCATCATGAGATGCTAAAGGTTGAATAAAAACGCATTGCTTTAATACAAAATATATACGTAGTTATAATTAGCTCAACTTATTTTACAGCAAAAATGTGTGATTTATTACTGACTGATGATGACGATCGAAATTAAGCGAGGTGAAATCTGAGTTCATTGTCAGTCTCATCCATTTACTGATATTTACTCGTCTTTTTTTTATTAAGTCATTCTCAAATCTTGGAATTATTTACGTTGTAACAAGACTGAGAATAAATAAGTGAGATTATCAGCATTCTTGTTACACAAAACCTGGAAGGAAGAAGTTCGTGCTGTATATTTCATCTCCTCTGTGATTCAATTTCCTCCCCAGACGACTCATTTGTGTGTGATGCATGTCACTAAAAGAAAGTGTAAAAGTTTATCTGTCAAGTATAAATGTCAAGTAAATTAAATGATCAAATCTGTCAACTCAAACGTCGTCAGTGTCACCCGACCATTGAACGTCCTTTAGCTCGTTATTATGTGTGTATGTATATACATATGTAATATTATATGAGTATAGTCGTGTGACCAAAGTTGCCATAATTTTTGTCATAGGGAAGGATGTGAGTTTTTTATGGGTTAAATTGCGATAGATTGAATCCACAGACAAATGTTCATCAAGTTCAATTGTGCATATGTATATACATTTCATATACCAAATTTCCATACATATGTAAATGTATGTACATATATATTGATGTATGCATAAACTGGCTGGCATATATATTCCTGAAGGATTTATTAAAACTGACACACACAATCTTGACGTGGAGGGCCATGGGGAAAAGTCATTTATTATCCCGTCGTGTCAATGATTATCAACGTTTTCATTCATGAAAACTAAAAAAAAGTCTAAATGTACATATATTTACTTAGTTTGTGTTCTGGAGAGGAGAAGGATGAATTTAACGAGGTTCAAATTGTGTTTAATGGGGGATCATTAAAGTAAATGTTTTAGGTTATTTTTCTTTATTCGAGGAAGGATGTTAGTTTGCGTGAATTGTGGATTTCAGAGGAATTTCACTTGAAAGATATGTAGTAACGGACTACTTATGCAATCTTTAATCTGAAATTTGTAAATTTGTCTCGAAGAACGGGGGAGGCGTGGTTATTTAAAAGCCAAACCTTCTTCACCATTACTTAGGATGACAAATAATATTAAAACTTATCAAGATCTCGCATTGCAATTGTGCAATTTTTATTATTTATCGCTCTGAGAATTTAGAAATGACTAAACTACAACGCTTGTAAAAACTCAAACTTTTCTTAAATTCGTATGTAGAGTAATTGAATTCAGCCTGAATGCAATTGTAAGGAGGACATTCTTTTTACAGTTTTTAAGACGCTTTTTGCACACAATATATATATTGCAATACAGGAATAAATTTGAAATAAGCACTGCGAATTTGAAAGGTATCAATCAGTTCGATTTGATTTTTTTTCTAGTGTAGAATAATTATTGTTCGAGTAAAAGTTGTGATGTTGACATATTCCTGATCGACGGTAGATCTGAATTACCGAGGAAGTTGACATACTTCACAAGACGTGCTGTTACCCATGTTGTGATAAGTACAGTGAGCACATGTCCAGGAGGCTTGATTTGAAGAAATATTTTGCGCGTGGGTACTTCCTCCAGCCCCATCGGTCATTACACCACTACTTCCAGAGGCAGCAATTAACTGCTCCACCTGCAATTACATTTGATGTATAAGTTAATTAATCTCAATTTCTTTTGTAAGGCAATAATATATTTAAGTTTGTTACCGTGGCCCAGTGCTCTGATTTCGCCCAATCGTTTGCTTTCCCTTCATCTCCGGTTCGAATAGCTAGAAATGAAAATATATTGGTACATTTGTGGCATGCCACGAAATAATTTACTTTGATGGTTTAAGGTTTATTTAACCTTACCTTCTAACAGGGGTCCAATGTATTCCCTAAGGTGAACGATTTCCATCGTGGCAATAAAAACTAGAAAGTGTAAATCACAGGCTTTCTTTAAAAATGATGTCTTCTCATCAAATTGATTGAGATAAGCTGCCAAGGAATTGAAATCCTGCAGGTGGCCGGCAATTGGACGATTCTCGACGGGGAAAGGCTTAGCTTCTTCGTTGGCGAAAACTGTAAAAGTTGTCTGTGGCGTTTTCGGAGTAGAGACGGGCACGTCGACGAGCAAGTATTCGACAGGGAGTGGTCTGGCAATTTTTGTGACGTCGTTTCCATACTCGTCCTTGTGCTAGTATAAAAACGAAAATGTTATGGTATACCATACCTTTAGTAATTAATTACCATTAAAACCAAGCTTACCTTGTAAAAAACGTCAGGCACATATTGTTCATTGGAAGATTCTTTGACATAACCAAGTTCCGGAGCATCTTTTGTTGGGACGAGACATCTGTCGCGGACAAGGGCCATGCACTGGTTGGAGACTTGGTAGCCTTCCATATGAACTTGGTTCTTGTCGTCGCCTGCAGATTGATAATGGTTATTTATTTGTTTAACACGTACTATTAATTAATTTTATTAGTAATCTAATTAAGTTGGATACTTTACCTGTGACAATAACTGTTGCGAATTTAGATCCAAAATATCCAGTCGGTGAGTGCTTTGATGGATTGGGATTTAAACTCTGGAAATATGCTGCCGTAATACATTCTTGAGCGGACAGGAAAAACGAGTGTATGCCTAAATTCATGTTTAAAATAAAATAATTATATACAACAAACTTTGGCTAGAAGATAACCTTAAATGAGATTTAGATTTTCATACCCCGTATATGTTTAACAGTTCCTTTACTGACATCTTCGGGAATCAAGTCTGTAAAAATCCATCCGACGCATCGCAAGCCTAGTCCCAGGGCGATTTCGTTCACTATCGCAAGCTTCTCATCGTTGAGATAAAAGTTGAAGCCGTCACGATCATTATCTTGGCGAGGTTCATAAATGGCTGCAACTCGAGCCCTGTAAGAAGATGAATTTTATTTCTCATGCAATTTAGTAGGTACCGACAAATAAAAAAGTTACCTGATTCCAAGTGGGACGTCTCCGTGCTCTTCGTAATTTCCATACAAAAGTCCCATCCTTTGATACCCTGAAGACCTCCAGTAAGACAAGAATCGTTCGACAATGTTTGAATTTTCGAACATTACACTATCAACGTGTCGATAAACCTGGATTAAAAATGTTAAAAACATTTTTGTTACATAATTCCTATCAACCAAACCATTAATTTTCACTGCACATATTGTCCTTGTTGTCTCATTAATTTTCCATACCTGGTGGTTTAATGTCACAGCAGAGGGCTGACACTTGGAGCAAATTCCTTTTGGCTGAAAATATTTTGTTATTACAATTCTGCAATATGACACCTACTCAATGTTATGCCTTACCCAGGGCGGATGAGTCGTACATCCTTCTTTTATTCTGACACTCAAATCTTCTAAAGCCACAAATTTGCCCCTGTAAATAAATACATGGATTTAAAGTCAGAGTTAATTAATCAAGTAAAACGTGGCTTATAAATATAGTGACTCACTTATCAACCCCACTCGTTAGCTTCCTCATGTACGAATGGAAAGATAAATGCTTGATTTTATGTTCCTTTAAATATGCTTCGTCATACGGTGGTAGTGGACAGCAGTACACGCAGCCTGCATTTTCACCATGATGACAAGAACGTGGGTCCTTTTTCCTCGGAATCATTCCGTCTTTCGTGTTTAGTTCGATGTCAACATCATCCTCGCGAATGTTCACTTGTGAGGTTTTCTTCTGAGTCACTAAGGGAAGGTCAGGAAGGGCAGACTCGTTGTTTGAATGGTTATTAGTTTGCTCTGTGCTCTGATGTGATGAATCGTCCATAGCTTCGGGTTCTGTGGTGTTGGTAGGGAGGAGGGTCATCCCATCTTCGGGAGTAAGGAACAGCAAATCCCCATGATTCAGTCCAACCTGACCGATTGTCTTGGATTTTGAGGACGAAACTAGCTGAGATTTCGACTTGTCTTTATGTAACGTGAATGCGCAGCATGAGTACCCATACGTTTCTCGAATCTAACAAAACAACAACGGAAACAACAAAGTTAAAGTTTCATTACGGGTCTGGGGAACATCAATAAATAACTAACGAGCAGATAATAGCACAAAGCGGCTTTCCTTTCGTACCTTTTCATAAAGAGTCTTTGTATCAGACGATGAAGTTATTTGAAGTCGTTTAGTCCCCTCGCGTGCTTGAACACGGAGTGTTATCTATTCATCAAAACGTATTGCAATTAACAACTACCCGCAACATTTATAATATTTATCATTTTATCAACACACCGATTTTCCAACCATCCCGTTCAAGAAATTCTTATCTTGTAAAAAAGACGTCCAAAATTAGGAAACGAAAACTAAGGGAGAAACAAAATTTTAAATTACTACAATCTCTACGAACAACAAGTATCCACGATTAAAAGTATTTAAATACTATTTAAGTATCCACGATTAATCTGCATTTAAAAGTAAAGTTACCTTAAATTCGTTAAATTGGATTACCAATTAAATAATTCCTCCAATATTTCTTCCTCTTTCTTTAATTCAGCACTAGCCGCAGTGTGGTTCTGTCCTGTTCCAAACCCGCTTCTTTAGCTGTGCCAAAATTACTTCAATTATTTTTAAGACCGACGTGAAAAGTTAAGAAATTTTATAAAATTTTCGGTTTTAGAAAGTTGTTTAGTTTTTGTTAGACTCGCGAGTCGACTTGCAAATAAAATAACATGACATGTTAGAAATGAATGGGAGTTTGAATTAAGCTCTTTTTTCAACTTGCCGTTGGGCAGAGTGGAACCGGGTGGAGGAAAAATGTAATAATTCTAGTTAACAATTTTTAGAGATAATTATTTCATAATTATTGATTACCCACGGTTGGTTGGACCTTATCCTAGACACACAATAATAACTAGTGCTTATCTCAATTAGCGTTAAAATGGCAGAATTACCGGCGGAGGCGACCATACTGTGTCATTTTGGTAATAAATATTAATATTAATAAATCAAAATCAAAACATTTGAAAGATTTTGTTATTTAAAATTATATTTAAAATTGTAGAAGCGTTGATGAACAAGTCGCCCATTTCACAGGTGGACGTCACCACTTTTTTACGAGAAATGCGGCGAACACCCTCTGGAACATTGGTCACTTCGAAAATGTTGGCTTCAAAAATTCAGTCTTCCTCCGAAGCTCAGGCGATTCAAGCGTTTGATGTAATTAATTCAAGAATAAATTACGGTAAAACTAATATATGTAAGGAATTAATATATATATTGGATTTGTATAGGTCCTTGAACAGTGTCTCTCCTCAGAGACGGAGGGTTCGATCGAATTTAGGACAGAAATAGGAAGATACCGTTTCCTAAATGAAATTATTCGAATCCTGAGTCCAAAATATAGGTTAGATGTCAACTTCATTCACTGATATTTCATATTATCATCACTATTATTCACTATTAATATGCGCTGGTTCCACGCATCTTCATTACAGTGGCAACAAGACGCTACCAGCAGTGAAGGAGAGGGGAATAAAATTTCTGGATGTTGCTGCTGGGACAAAGAGAAAACAATGGTTTCCGAGTGAGCATTCCAAAATCTTGGCAGTGTACCAATCTCTTGTGGATGGTGGTGTTATCAAGGTACCAAAGAATACATTTAATTTCTGGCGATTGTAGGCTAATTTTAACATAATGTATTAAATTTAACCAGAAAAATCCAAAATTTCCATCCTCCGAGGCCGAAGAAGAAGCCGAACTGCAAAAGAACATTTTCGACAGGAAAGAAAACGCTGCAGTTTTACAGAAATTACTCCAATCGAAAGACCCTTCCGATCTCCAAGCCGCTAATCGTCTCATAAAAAACCTTGTTGAAGAGGAAACCAAGCGGAACGAGAGGCGTGCAGAGCTACACTCACTAATTGATAGAATCGAAACTTCAACTAGTCTCCTTATGGAAATGCTAAGTCAGCATAAAATTGATAAAGAAATTGTGGACGAGTTGGCAGAAAATTGCAAGAGCTTGAGGCAGAAATTGGGTGGAATTGCAACAGAGACGAATAACGAAACGACATCTTTGCTGCAAGCAAGTGAAAATTTGGAACAAGTTTTAAATGTATATGAAGAGAAGAAAAATTGTGCTTCAGATCCGGATCCTGAAGATGAGGTTGTAGTGGAAGATACTGAAAGAAAAATAGAATTGCCAATGTCTGCAATGTCACTTGTGGACGAGCTACTCCTTAAATTAGATTTAGGACCAACAATGGACGAGAATAAGTCACCTGGTGCTACCGGATATGTAGACAATTTATTAAATTTTGACATTGATTTAAGTCCACAGACTTCAGAAAAACCTGCTCCGAATCCTCTAGATGAAATTGAAAAAATGAGTAGGAAATTGATGGAACAAAGTTTGTTGGGTCCTTGTGGTTCTAATTCGACCTCGACCTTGACAAACTCTGAACTCAAAAATAAGCTCTCATTGGAAAAGCCTACACTTTCTCAAATGCAGAAGTCTTCCCTGGAGATGAATGCAAATCTTGACCAGAAGAACAATCCAACGAATAATGGAGATGATCACGATCTCTTGGCATTGTTGGATTTCGGAATGTTTGACAAATTACATGACAAAGAAAATAATTCAGAAAACCCAGTACCCGATAAAAATTTACTGTTCGACTTTGGCGAAAGTCACTCAAAACCAAAAGTAATAGCATCACCAACGCCTCCTCCTAATTCAAATCCTCCCAAAGCAGATGAAGACATTTTGGCCGTGCGACAATTACTGACCTCTATAAAAGACTTGGATTTGGACAAAGTAGAGTTGAAAGACTGCATCAAACCAATCGACCTCAGTTTGGATTCGTCTTGTGTAAATGTCACCTTAACGTTGACTTTTGCCAGCGTGCCGGATTATCCCCCATGTGTCAAAGTGGCCGTGGTGGCTTTCACCAACAGAAATCCATCGTCAGGAATTTACAACTACGTTTTCCAACTCATGCCTCCAAAAGGTTTGCAGGTGTGTTCTGCCTAAATTATATCTATTTGGTTTAAGTGTGAAATTTATAATTTCATACATTTTCCTCCAGGTAAAACTCCTCCCACCCACCACAATGGAGCTTCCTCCCTGGAAGAAAAGTTTTCTTCCTCCACCCGTTCTCACCCAAGTCGTGCTTATCGTCATTCCTCGAGACTTTCCTTCCCCATCCAAAAAAATTAAGTTTATCCTATCCTACAGCACGGACGATGATGATACCGCCTTACACAATGGGGACTTTGAAATACCTTCGTCCTTACTCAAAAATATCTAAGATGTTGATGTGATATGATATTCAAAAAAGCTTTTATATGGAATTTTGATTTTATCTCGACACGAGCAGCTTGCATTTTACATAATAATCTATTGTGATCACTCACTACGTCTTATATAGTTTACTTAGGTAGGATAATTGTTCATGATTTTTAGTCAACGAAACCACATGTTACCACACCCTTGCTGAAATATGCTCTCTGAGCTTTTTAACTATTATTTGCTTTAGCAATTTTATTGTACGCACATAAGTATTATGAAAGTGTTTGCTACGATATAATGAATAAAGCAACACTTTAAAGAGATTAAATAAAATGGAGCAAAGTAATTATGAATATTTTCAAAGATTTATTAGCCTCTTTATTACTAATTTTTATGCAAACTCCAACAAACCACATTTAACAAGATTATACAAATGAAAAAAGTTTCACGTAAGCGTGGCATCGATATTAAATTTTGTTAGTGCAAATTGTACAAAATCTTGTGAATATTACTTAGCTAAATAGGGAGTAACCATACGAAATTGATCATTTTTCACTCTACATTACTGATTACAGTCAGTTTGATTTGAATACTAATTCGGTCCTCCTGGTCCAGGTGGCTGGTCAAATCCTGGCGTAGGAGCGGCCCCCGCTTGGGTCATCAGATCAGCTATATTTTTCTGCATGAGAAAAATAATCAATATTAGTGTTTCATATCAAAGGCAAACAATTGACTTGTTACGTTAATTAATTGATTACCACCTCGAGCTCATCCACTCGCCCACCCATGTCGTCAATTCGGTTCAATATTTGGTCCGAGATTTGCTGAAACTATATAATGCGCGTTATACTAATTAAAATTTATAGTTATATACATATAATTTATATCTTTAAATATATACTTTATCCTGCATGTTTTGAAGGAGACTCTGTACCTATGCAAATTTTAAAAAGATAACATGGTCATGAAATAAATTTTCAAACTCAACTTATGCTTATCGAAGGACATACATATTGAGTCAACTCTTGGATATTCTTGGGCTCGTTCTTTTCCAAATCGGTCACTCCTACGTCCGCCATGTTTTGAAGCAAATTGAGATTTCCTTAGGAAATTTTCCTAAGTCCTTTGGTTCAGTGAAAGGAAATAATAATAAATTACATTAAATTAAAATTTGCATATTTAACTAAGAATTAGAAATTCCAGCTAGGCAAGTTTAAAGATTAAACTTTCAGAAAATACTTTGAATCTTATTGTACCGAATTTATAGCCACACCCAACCCGACCTGCCACACCCAACCCGACCTGCCACACTCCTTTCCGTTATTGGGCTCGATTTTAGCAAAATTATGCACAAATGCCAATGTTCTTTATATTTTTGAGTAAAAAATTTGGATACTTTTGGATGAACAAAAACCACAAAGACTTTGACAGTATCGCAGCTGTGTGTAAACTGAAAAACTCTTTCTCCGGTTCAATCCAATCCAACAACCGAATCTATTTACAAAACCTTTTATTTATTTATCTTTCCCTTAATGGGCTCGTTTTTCCGACAAGTAATGGACTGACTATTATCCTGTCTGTGAAATAAATTGCTATAAAGTAAATAGGTACGTTAAACCAGACTCATCCTACGTGAGGATAATTGAGACGGGAAAATGAGATTTTATTCATTGTAGTTGTGGAAAAAAGTACACGGCTATTATTTAAATTGGGGATAAGTCAATAAAATGTCGATAATATGATGACCTGGATAAGTACTAGTCTGCACTGGTTTCCCATAAAAGTGGGCCGAGGACCTTCTTGGAGAAAGCAAAAAGTTGAGACAAATCTCAGGAATCGAATAAATAGAGGGTGAAAGTAGATAGACATTTAGATTTAAAGGATGAGAATTAAACATGTGTGGCTACTAAACTAATGAGGGGATGACATGCCAAGAAAATGGTCACTTACACCGATTTAGTCGTCTGGCTGGACAATTCTTGGTAAATAAAGGTAAATTGGGTGCGGTTATGTGTTGCTCGATCGAAGGTGACAGTTTCGACCAAACAATTTACTCCCAAATATCGTGATTGGAATGATACACATATTCATATTATGTTGGGGTTACAAATTGTGACCAAATTGAACGATTTATTATTTTCATTGTTTGATAAGATGCCGATATTTAACGTCTATGATGTAACAACATACAAAATATTGCTTTGCAAAAGATGCATGATGGAGATGCGATGAATGATGTGTAACCAACCAAAACCACAAATGCAAACAAACTAAGGCTTAAATAACAATAAAATTCAATTTCGTATCATATAATCTCTGTTGAAATCTGACTTCGCCATTGTTACTAATTACAGGAGAATCAGAAGTGTTAACTAATCCTATTATAATACCTACAAAGTAGTACTAGTTACTGCTAATGCCATTGTTGAGACATTATAAAATTTTGACATTTGATCAAATCAACATCATGATAATTAATTACCTAACAAAATTAAGGAATCGGAAGGAAGTTGATAATTATGATTTTTTTGGAGAAGCAGTTCATAAATAATTTTAAGACGATACTTGATTGATATCAAATCCTTGACTTATTAATTGTCTTTCACAATTAAATTATTTCCTATTTCTGGCATCAGACCACTCACTAAATTTTGAACCGTTGTACAATATCGTTATTACGTTAACAAAGTATATTGGCACATCTGCAATACAATTATCATTTATACATACCTAACACTTAAGATAAATCAGAGGCCGTTGTTACAAATAATATGATTGCACTGCCCCTTTAATTAGCAAAATATCTTAACTGAGTCTCTTATTGAGGATTTGATCAGGAACCAAGAAGCATGTAAAATAAGAAACACGTGAAATAAGAGTGCGTGGAAATATATAATTCAATATTGTTTGTGTAACATGGCTCTGAAAATGCAGGTAAATAATAAGTTCATCAGTTTTAGGAAAATTTTAGCCCAAAATTATTCAAACATTCTTCAATTTCAGGTGTCAATTTTGGTTGTCCTTTGCATTTTCCAAATATGTCACATTTCTGCACAAATATTTCTTTCTCCGATCGGATCTCCATGCACCTCAAGCGAGCAATGTGTCTCAAACTCTGATTGTGTTCATTCCACATGCACCTGCAAACCAGGTAAGTACCAAATCGTCTCAATTTCCTCAAAAAAGATTGTAAACCAACAAATTTTCTATATTTCCTGCAGGATTCACGGAGCTGTCTTCCCTCGAATGTAAGATGGACTATGAAGGTAAATGTTCAAAAGAAGCCGACTGCAACACCGCCATGGGGCTGCACTGCATCAACTCGATCTGTCAATGTTCCCAACTTCCCGGCCAAAAAGAAGAATATCTTTTCGAACTTGGATCCTGCATGAATTCTTCGATGCGAATTATGTACCAAGACGTTATGACACTTATAAACAGGACGGAATTCGAACTGATGCGTTTCACCACTCTCTTCAACGTTTACATGATCCAAGCAACCTCCACGTCAGGTCTGCAAGACTCGAACAATGACCTCGACAGCCTCGTCCTCCCAAGCGACATCAACCCCGTCGTGTACGAACGTCTGCAACAATTGGAACAACATCTTTTCGCGGAACAGAGCCCGATTCCTGCCATTGTCCCAGCTCCAACATCGCCACCAAGTTCGACCAGCGCCCAACCGGACACCAGGGCACAGTTGGAAGCTCCGCAAACAACGGTACCAGTGGTTACGATTCCAAACCTGTTGGACGGGTTATTTACAAGGAATGAAACTCCGAATGACGCCACAATTGTGCCACCATCACCAGAATCGCCACCACCAGCTTCCCCAATTCTGCCAAATCCTTTCCAATTTCCCTCCACGGGAAATCCCAACCTTAATGGTGACGGGTTGACCTCAATAATTCCAAACTTTATCAGAATGTTTGCCCAATTTCTTCCATTCGTTCAGAGTTTTAATAATGTCCTCACTACGGCAATTTTAAGACCTTTCCAAAGGAATCAGCAGCAGCAGCAACAACAACCAGCCAGACCATTTTTAGGAGGACTTTTTAACAGTTTGAGTACTCCGATACTTCCACAAATTCCAGGAGGGGGCGTGGACCAGGGGGGAGTGAACGTAAATCAGGACAGGGTTCGCGCAAATTTGTTGTCCCTGCCGTTCCGACTTCTTCAAGTTCCGGGAAGAATTTTCAACTCTTTGTTCGGACCAAATTCTGCCCTCGCCCAGTTGCGACAGCGACTTTTGCCAAATGTGGATTTTGAACAGAGAGCGTTCCGATTCCTTCCTTGGCCACTGGGCTAAAAAATCTATATACAACAATAAATATACTTAGATAATATATAGATTAAGTTTAGTTACTTTTTGACAAATAAGCAATCAATCTTATAATTTCGTTCGTACAAAATAAAAAGAGCTTTATTATGAAAAATGCATTTCCTTCATGCACAAAACGATTAAGTTTAATCAAGGTCCATACATATATCGTATTTTTTGCACTTATCTCATCTCACTCATTCATCAGTAAATTGGGTCAATGCTCACCTACTAAGAATGAATAAGGCATAAAATCAGTAAGAAAATTATATTTAAAATGTCGTCCCTGATATTTCCGCAATTGCACCTCGAAAAGAATCTCTCTTCTATTTGCAGATTTGAGATAAACCCGTGTAAAAATTGGACTGTAATTGGTATTTAATTTACAAGTGTGTCCCTTGAGAAAACCTGTAATTTACACTAATCGCTTAAACGGTACAAGCCAACTTTAAAAATTGTCTCACCAATTAAAATCTCATCTAAAATTAGTATGCAGAACATACAAAGTAAAAAAGAGCGTATTTCCTATCGCGTAAATGCATATGTATTTCATGGCATTCTGATATCAAATAAGCAAATTGATACAAAGTAAAACTACAAATCTTATCAACTTTATAAATCATTGAGCGAATTTAGCCAAGTCTGTTCAGTAGCATGAAGGGTACAGTGTATCGCTTTGTAGAATTTGTTCCTTTATGCATAAATATCACCGCATCCATCTTTGTTATTATCGTCGACTGCAACGACCTAGACCTGAAGACTAATCTGAGAGTGAAATCTTCCAAATCGTAGGATTTCTTGTCTTTTTTTACTCTTTTTATTTGCCTTATAAACTTTTACATGCAAATGCATAATTCTGTCTGCATAATAATGAATCATCATCACATCGCATGTTATGAGACGATTTGCATCGCTTATAAAATAATATGTACGAATATAGTGCGATTGTACATGACAGCATCTTCAAGTTCTAATAAAGTTGTACAAATTGCGGAAAGGGAATGTGTGAATTTTAGTTGAAGGGTTCCCTCAATCAATGTGTCAAGTTGACTTAATCCAAGTATAAGTCACACACATGCATAATATAATTTAACAACATAATACATGTGTAAATAAGTACACATAATTCTGAGCGAAGGTCAGTTTCGGGAACATTGCGATTAGTTTATGATACGCAACAATGCTTTTGTTTAGGTCGGGATGAAATGTAGCGTTCAGTTTGGTCAGACGGTTGGGCTCGATAAGTTGTAAGACCAAATAGTGTCACGGAAGTAGGATCATAAAAACATATTTAAAAATAAAATTATGCAGGTACATAAGTCAAATCAAGTCACGTAAGATAAGTATTAACTAAGGATTAATTTCACTTAATTTGCATTTTTTAGGTAAGAATGCCTCCGAATTTCCTGGCCATACTATTTCTCTCCTTTCTGACCGTGTCTTTGACCACGGGACAATTTTACAATGCTCGCTGCACCCACAACGGACACTGCAACGCCTCCCAGTTTCTCTCCTGCTACGCCGGTTACTGCCAGTGCGACTCGAGATCACAAGTCTACGACCACGCCCTCACGCAGTGCGTCATCCGACCAGGGGGCAAGTGCTTCTTCGAACGAGGGAACCACCAGGGTCTAAAATGCTCCAAGAATTCCGTCTGCATCTCCGGAATTTGTCAGTGTGAACCTGGACACTGGATTCCAAAAGGTGGAGAAGTCCTATGTAAACCAAATTTTGAAAATCAGTGCAAAAATTGTGACGCAGCGAAAGGGTTGGTCTGCATCAAGGGGACGTGCCAATGTAGAAACCCTTCGTTATCTTATCAAGGCATGTTTGGCTGCGTGGAAGCTAAAAATCCGGACTTTATCAAGATGATGGCCACCCTGAAAGAGACGGAAAAACTGTTGAAGGAAAATAGAGTCGATATCAACACCCTAGTTGACGAGTTGGCGTTAGGAGAAAAGTCGTCTTCTTCTTCCGATCTGGTTGAACATAGGGCCCAACCCAGACAATTGTTCAACTTGGAGGCAAATCCGTTCGGAACGATTGACTCCGTGTCGGACCTTACCACCTCCCCGCAAACGCAAGGGGGAGGAATTTTCGGCGCGATTAATTCACTGGGATCGTTATTTGGGCAGATGCGACAGAATAATCAACAACAAGCGTACGGTGTCCCGGCCACGACTACCGGTGGGGGAAATAATCAAGGGGGCTATGGCGGTGGGGGTACGAGTGGAGGTTATTCTGGACCGGCTCAAACTCAAAATTTCAGAAATAACTTTCCTCTGTTAACAAATTTTCTGAATCTGTTTAACCAAATCATCCCATTTTTGAGGAGATTGAGCATGCTCCTCAATCCTTTGAGGTTTATTCAGAGATTACTTACCAGCTTTAGAACATTGTTTCCCACGGGAGGAGCTGGATTGGGGGGATTGGGATTGGGGGGTTTGGGGTTGGGACTTCGAGGTAATAATAATAATCAGGGTGGATATTCTGGTGGGGGTGGCAGTGGTGGTGGTGGATCGACGCCGTCTTCCGGTTATGGTCCTCCCGGAAGTGGAAATACTGGTACGGGTAGGCCATCCGCGGCATACGGACCCCCAGCAGCCTCAGCGATCAACAGTTTCAACCAAATTACGCCGATTCAACCGCAACAAGGAGGACAACAACCATCAGGTCAACAATCACCACCGTCAGCGCTTTCCAGTCCTAATTTTGAGTCCCAAGCGTCCACTTATCTTCCACTAAATAACAATAAGAGACAAGTTCCCGGATTTCCAAACAACAATAACAACATACAAAGTTTCTTTAATCAAAACAACAACAATAACCAAAATTTTGACAACAATCAAAACAATTTTAATCAGAACAATAATGACAATGTCGTCAATGACCCTCCAATCATCGCTCTACCATCGACACAATCTCAGCAGAATGTGAAATACCCGAGACAAGAAAGAGCAAATAATTTTGGAGATGATTCTTCTCCATATCTTCCAGAACATTTGTAATTATGACAAAAAAATTACCGATTAATTTATTTGTGAGGTAATTTCATCGGAGGACATTTTCTTTAATTAGTTAAATATATTTTTGTATGAAAACTTTTGTAGAAATTTTGTAGAGATAAATTAAACGAAAGTATTATTTATTTGTTACCATTTATTTATGTAATTGTCATTATGATTCATCGGCCATAATAATCTCAAAGGCATCAACTCGAAGCAACCTTCACTCCATTGGCACAATTGAGTGCAAAATGTTTTATATTTTAATTATTTAGCATGCTAACCGTAGTTAAACTACGTGACGAAAAATTTCCCACGGCATCTTCTATTTTTGCAGAAAATTGCAAGTGTTTTTTCGTAAGTTGCATATGTATCTATGTTCCTTTTATGAAACAAACATACCCAATATGCTGCAAAAAGCATGATTAAATCATTATAAATGATAGAGCTTGAGATTTTCATTTAAGGGGTAGAATTCTTGTAATTTTATACACACAGGAGCACAAGCTTATCTCATTATTGGTAATGAGGTAAGCTAGTTGAAATAACTTTAGGTAGGTATAGTTAAAAATGATGACGCTTCATTGGACAGGCGGAAAAATTGCTGGAAAAATTATAATTTAATTCTATTCACGTAATGTGATGAGAACGAGAATCTGTTTATTTCGAACATATTGTAATCCTTTTTAATGGAAGCATTTTTAAATCATAAGTAGCCAAAAGATGTTCTCGACTATGTTTATAAATAAGGCTCTGCGGGTATATAAGAATTGCATACCTATGTATTATGAAGTAGAAAACCAAATCACCATAATTGATACTGGCAATGTGTATGTATCCCATTGTTACCTAACTTTGCATGTAACACAAACATTTTGCAAAGCATCTCTCCAATAATAATTAGGCTTTCATTCTAATTCTCATTTCCTGTAAATATGTATATTTAGGCTAACAGAACGGATACCGGATTTAGTTTAACTAAAGGGTTGACTAAATAGCGATTTTGTCACGGTACATATGCACATATTTCATTGCGTGTAAATGCGACAAAGTTGAGAAACTACAGCAATCAGACCAAATAAACACCTCACTTGATAGGATTATACATACATAGAATTGCCATACATTATTTTTGTTGGATCAATAGAACATGCATTTTTTTGCAAATACAGATACATAAATTGCGACTCCATGAAATGAAGTGTGGAAATAATGCAGTGAGATTTTTTACTTTTTTTTAACCATACGCAATCCTGTCCGTTCACATTTATTTGTGCAACTCAAGATAGGAGATTACATGCACATTTGAACCCCCATCATGCATTCACTTTTATGTAGTCATTCCACACCATGGTACCATTACATTGTTTGCCGTGATGATGATGATGATGACTACAAACAATCGTCAATCTTATTTCATTGTTATCCTCTCTGCTGCAAAATGGAGTGTGCGGATCAAGTCGAGATGGAGATGCGAATGAAAATTCGATGATTCGTCAATTCAATCCATCCACTCACTAAAATAAGAATTTAACTTCGCTGGGACGCAGCTCGCCTATCGCAGGTGTGTTACCACAAAGAAGAAAAGTAATAGTTTTTGTCGCGTCTCCTCGCATTCGTGGAATGCTCAACCAAGCATAAATAAATTTGCACCTTGCCAAACAACCACAATCACATAATAATTACACCACATTTTACATCGGATTGCTTCGTAAATATTTTAGTTTAAAATTCTGAGAGAAAAATGAAGCTTGAAACCGTTCTGGGGGCTGTCGCCTTACTAAGCGCGTGTGTAGTTGGACAAGTAAGTTGAAAAAGTGTGGGTATTTATGTGTATTACGAAATAAATTTTAATTGTTCAATTTTAGGCCGAGGTAAACGAAGAAAAGCTAAAAGTCTCCGTGTATTACGAAAGTCTTTGCCCCGACAGTAAGAGATTTATTAGGACGCAACTTTATCCAGTGAAACGATCCTCGTTGGGTGACAAGTTTGTCGTGGAACTTATTCCGTACGGAAAAGCGACGGTATGTTGAAGAAGTACCATTTCTTAAGTTCAATAATGAGATAACATCTTATCTTACAGACGACGCCGACCTCCACTTCCTACGAATTTTCCTGCCAGCATGGCGAAAATGAATGTAACGGGAATAAAATGCACGCGTGTGCCCTTAAGTACATCAACTCGACGCAGGTCCAACTCGATTTTGTTCATTGTTCCATGTCGACAAGAAATCCGCCTCAGTCGCTGACAGAGTGTGCCGCAAAGTTGGATATTGTCGACCCTGTGGAAGAAATCAGAACGTGTGCGGAGGGCGCAGAGGGATCAGAATTGTTGGCTAGAAATGGAGTGGAAACGCACGCTTTGAGACCGAAGCTGTATTTCGTCCCCTGGATCACGTACAATGGAGTCTTTAGTGAGGAGAATTTGCAAAATAGTCAGGATAGTTTCAAAACAGTCGTGTGCTCTGAGTTGAAAAAGAATGGGGTAAGTGCGAGTGAGTGTGACGCTACGGAGGAAAAGTGGGGAGCGAGGAGGGCTTGAGATTAGTTTTAGTTACAATTATAGTTGTGCTGTGCATTCGTAGTTTAGTATTTGTGTTTGTAGTAGAACATATTATTACGATCTGTGGTCAATTTGATATTAATTTTAACAATTTAGCATTCTTGCAATGGAGGAATCTCACTTGAAAATTCGGCAACGACGATGAGACATCTAATATTGGGGATAGTGATCTTCCAGTTTTGTAATAAAATACTCAGTTAACTACTTATAGACTTGCACTCGAAACCGGTTCCATTGCAAGAGAGCAACAACCCAACCTTATACAAAAAGAGTTCAATGCTACATCTCTAAAATCTAAACAAAAATGTGTGATTGAGTACAAAGTTTTATGTACCTATGTCTCAGTAACTAAAAATTTATTTTGATTCATTGAACAATTGAATGAACACCAATTTAGTATTCCTGACTCTTTGACAGCAACATAAACAGTTAATACTCTGGACGTCCCTGCATAGCTTTCTGTGGTTGATTGTAAACTAACAAAATAAATAAAATATTTTTCTGAAATGAAATGGAGATTAGAGATTTTTGGTGAATATTGGTATATCACGTGTACATAGCACAGGTATCAGTGATTAATTCTACGTAAATAATGGTAATTCTGTTGTAATTCGCATTCCTGATGAACATTTGATTAGATTCCATCCCATAGAATAGTCGGCTTATTGGTGGTTTTCATCGTGTAGCGAATAAAGTCTGTGACAGATTCGACGTACTCCTAAAATTCAATATTATTCAATTCAATTTTCATGGGTGTTCTTTTTTATCCCGAGTCAGGGCTTATGTAACATGACTGTTGTTTTGACTATTGTGCCGCACAATAGTCAAAACGGCTCAACCGATTGGGCACAAATTTTGCACACAAAGTTAGGAACCTGAGCAAATCGGTCCAATGGTTTACAGGTGGTGGTCAGTGCTAGTGTGAGAAAGCTGAAGTTTCGGACTTGAAATTGGAAAAATTTCCAACCAGAGGGACCCTAAGGGGTTACCCATTCCGATTTTCAGAAATTGTCTTAAAAAAATAAGTTTGCTATGGGGGCTAAAAATGACTTCCGCGTAGCAAATTCGACTTTGGAAGTACAAGATTTTAAAGGAGCGAGCCCCTTGGCACTCAAACAGAGGAATGATTTGAAAATACTAAAAATTTAGAAGCGGACTCTGTCCCTGGCTCGGGCTAAATGAATTCTGCACTGTAGGTTATTACTTCAACCAGTTTACAATTTTCTGATAAATGATAATGTCTCACCTTTGGATATTTCCTATAGTGTTGCACATGCACAGACCCAGCGAATTTCCTCTTTACGACATAATTCCCTTGCGTGGCGGCAATGTCTGCGAATTCCTCCACTAGCGTCCACGGTATGAGATCATCATTGTCCGAGTAGAGGAAGAGGTAGTGATGGTTCCGCATTTTTCCGAGGCGTCCAAGCCAGTTTCTCAAAGGAATCTCTTCAATGTGATACTTGACTGGATCAAGAGAGCTCAACTGTTCTCCCCAAAGACAGAGTTGAATCGCTGATTTGAAATGCATCCAAAAAACTTGGATGACAATGAGTAATACGGCGATGGATGCTATCAGGAAACGTACCCTAAAATCAAACGAGTCATTGTTAATTAACTTTTACCAAATCAAGACAGTAAAAAATGAGTAACACTTTTAGGTTACATACACTCCAAAATTTTCAAAGATGTTTGACACTGCACCGAAGCATTTTCCCAGATTTCTCGGGGTTGGTGCAGAGTCGAAAATCGTTCCTCGAATGTCCAGACATAACTTGTCCTGCATTTTGTATAGTTCTCGGAGAATGCTCGCGTACGTGAAGGATCCACCGTTGGAGAATACGTGAAAAAATATTGGGTGAGACTCAAGCTGAAGATCGCTGATGAGATGGATTAGTCGATTGGATAATACTGGTAATTTTCCCGTTTGGACAAAGAGAGCCTTTACTGGCGTAATGTATCTGAGAACTATACATCTGCACACACAGGAAAAATAAATCACAAAATTAATTACGCCAAAATTCAAAATAGCTTTGCATCAATTTTTGCAAACCCTCGTTTCAAGTAAATGTCCGAGTATTTGCTAAGATTCTTATGCTTCGAACCGGCCCAGCCTAACAAGATGACGACGATTTCTTTGTCTTCCTTTGTATCTTTAGCTGCATCCTTATCATCGTATCCAGAAACGGGCCAAATCTTTTCAATGGCCTTCTTGTCTGTCGTATTCCCATTCTCCTCTTCAGTGCTATTACTTCCGGCATATCCTGGAGTTGGGAACTGGATGTGAAAATCTAAATCCATATCGGGCACCTCGCAAGAGTCGTCTTCTTTATCGATGAGATTTGGAGTTTCGTTAGATGCCATTTTTCATGAGATTTGTCAAGATTCTGAAATATAAAATACAGAATTAATAATATGAAATCGAAACTGACATACGCCGGCAGCATAATGAACTACTGCTTTGATCTCTCAAATCAATAAAAAAACGTTGGACATTCTGTCAATCAATAAACCAATCAATAGCCGACCGGACTGGAACTGAAACTAATTCCAAATTCTATTGAATATTGAATTGACACAGCAAGTCAAAGAAACAGATAATCGATATCCTGAAAAATCATTTCGATAACTCTCCATCACCTCAAAACTTAGTCTTTTTCTGACATGAACAATATAATGAAGAAATTATAATTAGAAATATGTATTTTAGAATTATTATGTAGTACCTTACCTATATCTTTTAAGGTGCAGTAGCTGTAGCCGCCTGTCAGAATCCAATCCAGTGATTAAACCGGTAAGCTACACCTTAGACTTTGACCTGGCAGTGACCTTATCAACGTCACGCCACCCGCTACCAAACTATCAGAATAATTCACACGAGCGTGGAGACAAATGAAGGTCACCCAGTAAAACCGGATTTTGCGTGACTCGACCAAATTGTCAGCTGCTGGCTCAGTTTGCCCCGAAACTCGAGTCCACCTTCAAACAATGCAGCGCAAATAAGATCCAAACATTGACATTTCACGCGTTCGTTGGGATTTTGCTTCCGCTAACGACACAAGAAATAATTGAAAGCTGCGTATTTTCATTATTTTCTGCATAGTTTCTGAATTTTGAAGGTATTTCCATTAGAAATTTGTCGGGAAGCTTAATTTCGCAAGGATTGAAATTAAACCTTGTTGTCCAAAACAGATTCGAATTGCGAAGCGAGGACAAGACTGAGACGCCAGGCGAACTTTCACTTTTACAGTAATAATGGATCATCAACGAGGGGATGATGGGAAGACTAAACACGCTGAAGATGTTCCAGATCTTACGAAATTGAACGATATCACGTTACCTACTGGTGAGTGTAGGGTGGATTTAGTAATTAGGATTACATAAGTATATAATTAATGCTTGTGGAAATTTTTTCAGTATTGGACTGCTTAATTGATCGATTTCATCACGGGAAATATTCCACTTTTGCTGGAACTGTTCTAGTCGCGTTAAATCCATGTTCTTCCAAGCGATCGAGGAGACACTCGCCTCTTAAATCGTACGAAAATCAAGATGTCAGGAGGTTTGTAGAGCTTACACATTGCAGCAGTGAACCAGATGTGAAGAATTTAGAACCCCACGTCCTCTCTATCGGAGTGAAAAGCTTGTATAATATTGACAAAGTTGGGAATAATCAAGTCATCGTTGTTTCTGGGTATGCTAATCATAATTTAAACAAATTACATGATAGTGGCAAACTAGCGAATTAAATAATGAACTAATATAGTGATTCGGGTGCCGGAAAAACCACATGCACACAAGATCTTATTAAATTTTTTACGTATTCTGACACCGAGCCTAACAATGACATGTGGACCTTGGAGAAAAAGGTGAGAGGAATATATTTTGCCACCAGGATTATTTATCTTCGAAGTAAACTATGTTCAACCACGCTACTACGTTATTTTTTATTTTCTTTAATTAGATTTATGAAGCAACTTTAATCCTCGAGGCTCTTGGAAATGCGAGTACCACTGCCAACCCGAACAGCAGCAGATTCGGACGCCTGGTGCGACTTCAGTACAGCCAAGAGTCTAAAATCATCGGGGCTGAAATTAAAACTTATATGTTGGAGAAGCATCGGGTCGCGAAGGGGAATTTAAATGAAAGGAATTTTCATATTTTCCATTATGTGAGTTATTAAAGTTGTAAATATGTTAGTTGTTATTTAACTTTACTCCTCCAACTTTCGTTTCGTCATTATTTAGTTGTTCCATGCCGTCGAACATGGTTACATTGAAGGTCGCAATAAGAGCGTTTACAATAATTCATTTTGGTCCGGTAACGTTCAAGATGGAGACCTCCAACAGTTTGCAAATCTGAGCACTAGACTTACCATGTTGGATTCATTGGATCATTTTATTCAAGTTTTTGAGCTCCTGTTCGCAATCATGCATCTCCTCGCTGTCGAGTTTAAAGTGGACAGTGTGGCGGAAGAGGACAAGGAAAATTTTACTGCACATCGACCCAAGCATTTTAAGGTATCATCAAAGACTCAAGATCATCTCGACTCGGCCAGTGCGATCCTCGGAATTTCAACAACAGAGCTGCACAATTCACTCGTTTATAATACATTTTCAGCTGGTAGGAACTTTCAACTTTGTCATTTTACAGTAAAGTTATTGGTATATTCAACAGAAAAAATAATTGTGTTTGAAGGAAATCGTACAAGCGTAAGCTTATCACCGTGTGCGAGTAAGGAAGACTGCGAATCAAGACTACATTCGTTCATTAGCACGTTATACGAAAGATTATTTCATCACGTCGTCACACACATCAACGCATTACTCAATCAGCATAGCAGCAAATCTTCTGTCCTAGACTACTCGACCCCCGTTACTTCGACTAATAATGAGCCCAATTCGTGCACTACGACGGTATCAATTTTGGATTTGTACGGATTCGAAAACCTGGACTTTAATCACTTTGAACAACTTTGCATAAACTATGCGAACGAGAGGATTCAACAAGTGCAGATTTCCGTGCTTAAGGGATACTTTGAGGAGGATAGGCGTGTATCCAATTTCAATCTAACCGATGAGCCCGTAGAACTGAATCGAGTCGAGAATGAGACTAATCTGCGACTGGAGGAACTTCATCAAAGAGTATTTTGCATTTTAGACGAAGCATGTCTGCTAAAAAGGCCAACCCCGGATAAAGAGATTTTTCAGCAATTGGCAATTAAATCAGCAAAAGATCAATTTATTAAGTTAGTAATTATTTTAGTTAACTAATTATATTTGTATGCACAACTATGGAGCTTTATTGGTATGTTTACTTTTTGTGATAGAACTGGCCAACCGCATGATGACAAGTGCCCATTTATCATTCAACATTACGCATCCGACGTTAATTATTCTATGGCTGGAATGATTATGAAAAACAAAGACTTTGTAATTTACTAATTTTGTCCATTAATTATTTCGTGATAGTTTAATAATGAGGAGACTAATTTTTTTACTGTGTGTAAGTAGATTCCTGACGAATTTATCTCTATACTGAGCAGAAGCTCGAAGTCGTTCATTTGCGACTTATTTCCCCACAAGAGTCTGGAACCAGAAGTTGCCGTTAACACCCCTCGAAGGGGCAAACCGGAAGGGAGAAAGACAATTCTAATGCGTTTCAAGTTTTCCGTTAACGAATTGGTGGGTGAATTGTTGGAGAAGGAGAATCGAGATGTCCATTTTATCAAATGTATCAGACCGAATGTGGATCTATTGACGGATTTAGTTCAGCCGGAACTTGTACGAAAACAGTTATTTGCTTGTGGCATTGTCGATATTATTCGTATTGCGGGGAACGGTTATCCAATTCGGTATAGCACAAATTTTTAGCTATTTATAAAATCAACTATGTTAAATTGTAATAATTTAATCGTTGTATTTTATGCATTTCAGAATATCGACGGACAAACTCGAGAAAGATTTTCAATTTTTATTCCGTAAATTATTATACAAAAATTATCCTTGCAGCAAGCCACTTGGATGGCAGGATAGGCTCGTGCAAATATTTTCATCTAAATCGTCTCCCTTAAAATTTGGAAAGTCATACGCCTTCATGACTGAAAGCATCTTAAGTCGAATGAGGAAGTTTGACAGTTTAATTAAATGGAAATCTGCTAAGCAGATTCAGAGTACTTGGAGGACTTTTATTTCGGGTATGGATGAATTATTAAGAATGTTATATTTTTCCAAGTTAAACTACAAACTATACTTCGTTGTAGAACTGAAAAAGAGACGAGCTCAACTTGAGGTGGCTGCTACCCGAATTCAACGTTGTTGGAGAGCTTATTGTTTGGGTAAGAGTTGTAAATCATTCTTTTGTACTTGTCTCGAGGAAATATAATCAAGTTAATATTTCCATATTTCATTGTAGAACTGAAAATCAAACAAAATGAACTTGATAAAACTCCTGTTCCCACAAGTTCATCAAGTTGCAATAGTTCCCTGTATTTCACTCCAATGACAAGTAGTATTTCGAGCACGTTCTATTCTGTTGGGACTCACAATACTTTAAGTCACCCCAACCAGTCCAATCTGTATTTCTCAATTGGAAGCGATATGTCCATTTCAACTTCCACTTCTGAAGACCTTTGCCAACAACCAGATTCAAGTTGGTTAAATTGCAGCACTGACATGAATATCACCAATGACACAGAGGGTACAATTACTCCATGCGAGACAAGATTTGACAATGCCATCATGATGGAAACCAGTGGCAGCACACTACTCTGTATGGAATCAGAGAAGGAGATTTCAAATGATATAACGCCAAATCCTACACTACTGGATGCTACGCATGAATTGACATTTTGGAAAGGGGAGCCGCGGGGTCAACAAGTGGACGTGTTTGTGGGGGATGGAGTCATTTCAAGATCGGCGGTTCACACGGTACAGCGGATCGATTTAATTATTGTTCTAATGCCGTTTTACTGCATTATTGAAGTACTACATAACTAATTTCTATTTGGGTTGTACATAGCTTCCGATAAAAATTTATACAAAGAAGACTGCCCTCGGATATATAAAACCACCGAAAAGACTGACATCAAATGGAATAGAAGATGCATTTGAAGATTATAAAATTGTTATAAAAAAAAGTTTATTCCCACCACCGAGACAATCTACATTCCTAGGTGAAAATTCAGACCTTTCCGAAAACCAATTATATCATGTGATTTAAAATTATAAATTTATAATTTTAAATCACATTGCATTTATGCAAAACATGATATAGGTAGCAAAAGTATTTTAGTATTAGATTTTTAATTTTATATGAATGAAAAAATAGTTTATTTGTAACAAAGACACGTGTATTTTCGCAGACTAAAATTTTATTTATTTATTCAGATCTAGAAACATATGATAAGTATTTAGTTTACTCTGACATCACATTTTTAGTGGTTCTGTTTATTATTAAAGACTGGACTGAACCAAAGTATACAATAAGTAGGGTAATTAAGACATTAAGGTATCTTGATAAATCTGTGTAATTATCTCGATATCGTTGTCACAGTGGTACGCTACCATCTCGCTAGGACTAGTAAACAATTTATTATACCTGTAATTCAACTTGGGAAAAGTTGCACTGTCCGAAAGGACGTTAGGTAAAGATTCCAACTTAATGTCGAGTATTTCAGACCCAAGGAATCCGGTAACGTAGATATCCTCTAGGTGAAAGAGTGGCAACGGGAGACTAGAATTTAACAAGACCGGCACCGTGTGACCTCCAATAACGTAAAAGTTGCCCTCCAAATAGGGCGGATATGATTTTAACTCGTGATACTCCTTCTTGCGACCGCTTTCTCTTCCCAATTTAGCAAGAATAGCGATCTCTTCCTTCCACAGTTTTGGTGGCACATACCATTTTGAGAACGTGTTGAAAGTATGAGGACTTCTGTCATGAAAAACGACCCCTCCCATGTAGTGGGGTAGTTCGTTGTTGCTATTCTGCTGGCGTTCGAATCGCAACTTTGTCTCCACTCGGTCCAAGAGTTTGACTAGTTTAAGAGTATTCACAAAGACGTCATCGTCCGTCTTGACGAGAAAGTTGGACTTTGGGAGATTCATGCTGAACCATTTCAAGATTCTTAGAGATTTGACTGTAAGGCCATAATAGCTTTCTTCAAAATCGTCGACAATGATGTCCCCATACTTTTCTGATTCCTTTTGTAACGCCTGGAATAAAACAATGGGTGTCAACTCAGTTCCTTGCTTTTTTCTTAATTCTTACAATTTTCAAAAAAAATACACTATTTTATGTATACGACTTACAGCCATATCTTGAGATCTGGGTCTTCCACAAAAGAAGACCACAATTGTAGGCTTTTCCGGTTCATACTTCATCCAGGAATTCCGTATAATGGTTCGACGTTCTATATTTGTGGGGGTCGAGGTGATGACGACGACTAAAAATGGATCATTTTGATGATGCTCTATCTCCACTCCTACCGGAAGTGCCTACAAATAGAAAATGACAAGTACTAAGTAATTTTCACCTAAAGCTTTCTCCTACAGACGTCCTCTCACCGCATCACGTTCATTTTGTTGTTGTCCATTGTTATCGATAAAGACATTCCCATTCTTATTATTGCTGTTATAATTATCCCTTAACCAATGGTTATTAATGAGGAAAGTATCCACGAAAGGCTGCACCATCAAGTTGACATTTCGATTTCCAACCCCCTTCAAAATCTCGCCCGTCCTTTCAAACTTTTCATTCGTGTAGTGAACGATGCATGTTGTAACGACAAAAACGGAGATTATTATTTTAACGATGGTTTTAAACCGGAGTCGCAACGGTCTCATCGTGAACTTTCACTTTGACGAGTCACATTTTTTCTTACACTGCTTTCACCTTTCTCAGTGTGTCACTAATTGCCACTCTGATTAATAATGCATCATTAAATACTGCTTGTCATCATCTTACGTCATTTTCAAGTTTTTTTTGAGAAAGTAAGTATTTTTAATAATACTCTGTATCAGATATTTATATACATTTTACCCCTTAAATTTTCGAATGCACTTTATCTCATGAAATGCACCTTGAGAGGAACAAAGACCACTCAACCACACCACGCTTATCGTTCTCTTCTATCCTATCTTATCTTCACCGTAAAATTATATGCATAATTTAGGGGAAGAGTGAGATGGGTAATGTAATAAGTTGGTCAAGTCTGGTGGTGGTGAAAGTCGGGCTGGATATGAAATTGTGCCTGGAGCAGGCAAGCTTTTTTGGTCGGGTGGCAGCGCCATTTAGTAAGCAAAGAGTTCACTTGGAGAGAGAAAAAGCATCCAATAGTCGACGTCGTCCGGCTATGAAATAACAATATTTCGCTCTCTCTGCTCTTGGCTTGGGAATCATTTCGTTGGAAGAGCCACCACACTTCGCTCGCTCGCCTACTACCACCACAAAAGCCACCAAGAAGAAGAAGAAGGCCGACATTATTATACTCTCCAGTTCGAGACGAGGATATTGCACTCGATTAATTTATCCAGCTACAGTTATACTATTTGATAAGGTAAGTTTAAGTTCTGAAGGGTTTGCAAGGGTGTGCGGTTTGGAGAAAGTTATACTTTCTTTACTATAATATTCTTTCTCTGCCATTCAGTTTGTTTTGTTGTTGCAGCCGGTTGGTTGGGTCGTTTTTTTGACAGTCACTCACCACGCTGTTTTGTCAAAGTTTGTTTCGTTTTTGTGGTCGGATCTTATTGGGAAAAGAAATTCGAAATTTTAATAGAGGTTTATTATCTGTGAGAAGAAACTTTGCTGGGGGAAAGTGGAGAGAGAAAGTAGAAATTGAAGAAAGCCGATTGCCACCAACTTGTTTTCTGTTAGGTATCTACATGGTGGGTTATAATGTAAACTTTAATAAAAAAATAAAATACAATTTGTGTTACAGAATCAGTGAAAATAATGGGCCGCCCAAAGAGATCCGCTGCTCCGGCTGCTGATGTCGACACGGAAGAGATGGAAGTTGACAAGGCTGCAGAGAAGGCGCGAATTGGTCGTGAAAAGGCGAAAAAGAGTTATAGAGAAGACTCTGCGTCGGAAGATGAGGCCGTTGCCGCTGCTGCTGTGATTGATCCCAAAGATAAAGACTTTTCCGATGAAGATGTCCTCTCCCCGTCTGAATCTGAAGGAGGGTCTGACTGGGCCGGGGATAGTTCTGGTAGCGAATATGGCAAAAAGTCCAAGAAAACAGTTGCCAAGAAGGGTCGTGGCAGTGTCGGTCGTGGAAGGGGACGAAAGGCAGCTTCACCTGCGAAAGGGAAAGGTCGCGGTCGAGGCCGCCCACCTGCGGCGTCATCAGCTTCTAAAAATGGGAAGAAAGCTACGCCAGCGAAACGAGGCCGTGGTGGTGACTCCGATGAGGAGTCAGAATCAGACGCTGAAACTTCAGGAAGCGATTATGGTAAAAAGAAAAAGCCTGCTGTTTCAATTTCTCCAAAGAAACGCGGTCCTGCAGCTAAAAAATCACCTGCTGCTAAAGCATCTCCAAAACGAAAACGTGGCGCAGCAGCTTCTTCATCGCCGTCATCCCCACCAGCTCCACGACGTGTAGGACGAGCCTCTGCGTCCAAATCCTATAAAGAAATGTCCGAAGACGACGACATTGAAGTTAGTGATGACGACAAGCCGGTAACAAAGAAAGCCAAGTTGGAACCTAAAGCCAAACCAGCAGCAAAGAAGGCTGAAGCTAAGAAAAAAGCTGCGTCTGCTTCAGAAGATGAAGAAGACATCGAGGATGATGTTGACGAGTCCATGGAAGATGAAGAAGAGGACGAGAAAAAGGCAGATAAAAAAGTGACCACTGCCAAAAAGAATGGTTCTTCAACAAAGAAAGAAGTGGAAAAGAAGGACACTACTACTGAAGAAGAGGATGTCGAAGAAGAGGAAGAAGACGACGATGAAGGTGATAAGAAAAAGAAGGATACAAAAGTTGACAAGAAGGATAATGTAGCAGCTGCGGCAGCCAAGAATCGTAACAACGGACATACATCTCCTGATGAGGAGGAATCGGGTGATGAGGATGATGTAAAGTTCAAAGATGATAAGTCACCCGCATCCGAAGAAAATGGTGCGAGCGTGGAGGATGATGACGAAGATAAAGTTGATAAGCCAGCGCTGAAGAACAAGACAACCACAGACTATTCGAAAATTGATTTCGAAACAGATAAGAAGACTCCAAAGGGGGACGAATGGAATTATAAGATTGCGTGTTGGAACATTGGTGGAATAAAGTCTTGGTTGGGGGTGAGTAGCCTTTACTTATTTTTTTAAAAACGAAGCTGAATTTCTATGTAATAGCAGTTGGTTTATAACTAACTAATGGTTATTTATTTAATGTAGAAAAATGGATTAGAATATTTGGTGAAGGAAGACCCAGACATTTTATGTTTGAACGAAGTTCGGTGCGGGGAAAAAACGAAGCCGGAGCAGGTGTCGAAACTTGACAAATATCCGCATCTCTACTGGTCGTTTAATTCAGAGAGTCCGGGTCATTCTGGAGTTGCTATCTTCTCCAAGGAAGAGGCAAAAAGTGTGGAATACGGACTACCAGAAAATGAGGCAGATTCTAGCAGTGATAAGAAACTAAGGGAGGGATTCAACAAGGAGGGTCGTCTCATAACTGTGGAATTTGACCAATTCTACTTAATCAATGCCTGTAAGACATTAATTTAATTAATTTAATTATATGTTTTTAGAAAAGTATCTTATTAATGATAATATATAAATCTTGTACTCTATTAGACGTTCCAAATTCCGGTCGAGCCGAGAAGAGCGATAAGTACCCGAAAGGTTACCCTCCCAAAGTGGCGAATGGAGATCGATTGAAATTTGACGAGTTTTTCAGAAACTATGTCAAAGAATTGGAAAAGAAGAAATCTGTCATCGTTACTGGCGACTTGAATGTGGCTCATGCCGAAATTGGTGAGCCTTATTTCCCTCATCTTCTTCTGTAAACAACAAGAGGTTTAGGTACTTAAAATATTTATAAAATGAATAGATTTGGCTAACCCAAAAACCAACGACCGTACGGCCGGCTTTACTAAGGAGGAACGTGATGGGATGACCAAACTGCTTGAGGAGACGACTTTGTTTGATTCATTCCGTGAGTTATATCCTGACGCAAAGGGCAAGTACTCCTTCTGGAGCTATATGCACAATGCTCGAGAGAAAAATACCGGCTGGCGACTCGACTACTTTTTGTTGGTGAGTTGAAATTACTGATGCCCGTCTTCTCGTGCATAATAAAATTAAATTGTAAAAACAAATTACTAATATTTTGTGTACCTCTCAGTCTGAAAAACTTCGCGACTCCCTCTGCGACAACGTCATGCGGACGGAAGTTTATGGCTCGGATCATTGTCCCATCGTGTTATTCATGCGAAATTAATTTCTCCTTCTGCTCCAAAAAAAACTACAAAAAAGATCATCCTACAACAACTACCTACCTACTTTTACTAAGTAACTAAACTAAATTTTAATTGAAGGTTTACAGATTACAAATCACTTTTCTTCGTCATTAAAAAATATCACACCTAGTTAAGTAAAAAGTGAAATATGGTACATTAATAATTACTTCGAATCTAATTCTTTTTTTCTTGACACGAGCACAAAAAATACAGAGGAAATGTGCAAAGTAATAATTAAAATAATTAATGCGACGACTTTCTTGTTTTCTTATCGTATTTGTGTATTTGTAAAAGCGTGTATGCGTAGTAAGACTGAACAAACTGCAGAATTGCAAAAGGAATGGTTATATAAATGTAATTGTAATAGTTAAGCAACATTTTTGAACAATGATTGATGATAATCACGAGGATAATTAATTCAACTCCATTTTTCTGTTGCGTTTTTACTAATTATGTATTTAATTAAAAGTGCTCTGTTATTTTTAAACGTATAATAATATATGTAAGCTTTTACTTTTATGCAAGTGGTGGCATGAGGAGAATGCTATAATAATTATTATATTAGTAGATACACAATATGCAAATAAAGTGTTTTTGTCTCTACAAAAAATCCTAATCATATAATTTATTCAAAATCGACACCAAAAGAATCTATTTACTTATTTCCTATGCCTACATCGTGTTTTCATGTTATAACTTATGATACTGTGTTTGTTGGTTTTTACAATTTTATTCATCTCTAAAACTAGTAACTTGCCGCAGAGCATTATCAATTAATTATATCATCATTAATTATTAACCTTGTTACTTCTAATTCTATTGTAATTCCATCATCACGTTTCATTTTCATTTCATTCCTGATTTTACTTTTCCCAAATTGTTGATATTTGTATAAATAGTTGCAAGTTCACTTATCAGATTTGGAATTTAGAACAAATTTGTGCGTAGCAAATAATAACATTGTGAATTTGGAGGAGTGTGGAGGAGAGCTAGATAAGATTTTGTAAATGTAAAAATGGAAAACAGTATGTAACAGCGACGATGCAGAGTTGTAGTTGCTCCAATGATCTTAAAAAACTCGGAGTTAGTAAAATTTATGAGAGTCGTAGTAGTGTGGGGTGATCGGGGTGGTGTGGTGAATAGTTTAGCTGTAAAGATCGTCTTCCTCTTCTGGGAAGTTTTGACCTGAACCTCCTCCGCCTCCACCTTGACTCGGATTTCCGGCGGGTGGATTGCCAGCTGGGAATCTGATAAGGATGTACATTGTAAAATTATTACAAGTTTACAGACAATTAAATTGAAAAGTATGAAAAGATTATGCAAAAAAAATCATACCTGAAGTTATTTCCAAATCCACGAGATTGTTGCAGTGTCTAAAAAGTAAAGTGAATTAAATAAATATACACCCAATATATCATTAATTACCCAATGTAATTATTATTAATTAAAATATTTACCTGGGCAAACATCTCGTATTTGCGAATATCGTTGTCGGAGACGGAGCGACGAGCGAATTTCATGGCTTCCTCAAAATGAGCTTTTGTGATTTCTGGGACGGGATCTTCTTCGTCCATCTAATCCACATCAAAGGAAATTAGATAAATAAATAGCATCGAACTGAATAAAAATAATGCATTGCTACTCACATCCATGACGGCGTCGGGATTTTGAGCCCGAGCTTTCTCCCTTCGAACCTCCTCCTCAATGGACTGTCGAATGGCGAGTTTACAGGCTCGCTGACAAATCTCGGTAAGATCGGCACCAGAGAATCCATGAGTAACCTTGGCCAAGTAGGGCAAATCTACATCTTTGCCAATGGGAGACTTCCTCAAATTGGCCTTGAAAATGTTGGCCCGAGACCCTTCATCTGGCAGAGGAATATAGATCAGTTGATCTAATCGACCTGGACGCAAGATGGCCGGATCAATGATGTCTACAAATAAAAGTAATTGCTTAATTACTCTGGTAAGCTAATTCGTAAGGATTAATATAATACTTTAGTCTAAAATAAAGTCGTACCTGGACGATTCGTAGCCCCAATGATGAAAACGTTCTTCTTGGCTCCCATACCGTCCATCTCTGTAAGGACTTGGTTGATGACACGGTCCGATGCACCACCAGCATCACCAACGTTTCCTCCACGAGCCTTGGCTATTGAGTCCAACTCATCTGCATTACAAATTAATTACGAATTAGATTTAAAATTCGATTTTTTAGAGGTGATCAAGTTTTTTATTTACCAAAGAAAAGTACACAAGGTGCAGCAGCACGGGCCTAACGACATGAAATTTGTAAGGTTAACTACTTGTTGAACTTATTCTTTCTAAATTAGTAAATTGGAGTATTTTCTAGCTCACCTTGTCGAACACATCACGAACGTTAGCCTCAGACTCACCAAACCACATGGTCAATAATTCTGGTCCTTTGATGGAGATAAAGTTAGCCTGGCACTCGTTAGCGATCGCTTTAGCCAGTAAAGTTTTACCGCAACCTAAAAATAACATGGTATAAATTTAACAAATAGCTCACATAAAAAATTGCAGTACATATACATATCGCATAATTCGCAATGTACCTGGTGGCCCGTAAAAGAGAACTCCTTTGGAAGGCTGCATGCCAAACTTGAGAAATTTATCAGGATACTCGACCGGATATTGCACCAACTCTTGAAGCTCCTTCTTGACACCTTCAAGACCTCCGATGTCAGTCCATGAAACGTTGGGCACTTCAACCACAGTTTCTCGCAGAGCGCTGGGACTGCTTTTTCCCATAGCGTACTAAGAAAAACAATAAAATTTAGCAATTCATACTTTCTTATTCATTTATTTAAATAATATTTTTTTTAATGAGGTTAAACTCACCCGAAAGTTATCCATCGTCACAGCCAAAGAATTCAACACTTCGGCATCAATCTGGTCATCCTCCAGATCGATAAGATCCATCTTTTCACGAATTTGTTGAAGTGCAGCCTCTGAGCAGAGCGCAGCCAAATCCGCTCCGACGTGACCGTGACTCTCAGCTGCGACTTTCTCCAAGTCCACGTCGTCGTGAAGTTTCATGTTCTTGGTGTGAATTCGAAGAACTTCAAGACGTCCGGTTGCATCTGGAATACCGATGTCAATTTCTCTATCGAATCGCCCGAAACGACGGAGGGCCGGGTCGATCGAATTTGGCCGATTGGTCGCTGCCATCACAATAACGTGAGAACGTTGTTTCAGACCGTCCATTAAAGTCAAGAGTTGAGACACGATGCGTCGCTCAACTTCCCCATGAGTCTAAGAAAAACGTCAATACAAATGATATTTTAAATATTGCTTATTATTGTTATGATCAAATTAAAATAAATAGGAAGTTAGTGTCGTTACCTTCTCTCGCTTCGGAGCAATAGCATCCAGCTCATCAATAAAGATTATTGAAGGCGAATTTTTCTCCGCTTCTTCAAACGCTTTCCTCAAATTGGATTCAGACTCGCCAGCCAACTTGCTCATAATTTCGGGTCCGTTAATTAGGAAGAAGAACGCTCCAGTTTCATTCGCCACGGCACGAGCGATCAGTGTCTTTCCAGTTCCAGGAGCTATTAAATTCATTTAATTATTATTAATTTAATTAGTCTTACAAACTTTAATGTATTGAATTGATTAATTTTACTACTCACGTCCATAAAGCAAAATTCCTCTCGGAGGCTTCACTCCGATGGCTTTAAACAGACTTGGATGCCTAAGTGGAAGCTCAACCATCTCCTTGATCTGGGCCAGTTGTTTTCGGCAACCTCCGATGTCATCATACCCAACGGCGTTCAACGCTTCTTCCTCTTCCTATTAATTATAATAAATAATGAAAATTATTTTTTTTCTAAAATCAATTCAAAATCCCATCACCACCACCACAAATTCAAATCCGATTCCACTCACTTCACGCTTGACTGGATCTCCCTCACAATGGATGACCGTGTCCGGTGCGACAATGCAGAATGGGGCCGGATCGGTCTCGACCACCTTAAACTCTACGGTTCGCATCGCGCCTCTCGCCGTGAAGACGTCTCCCTTATGAATGGGACGATACGCCTCAAGAAAGTAAGGCTTCAAGTAAACTTCAAACAAATTCCCAACAAGACCTTCCACAGTGTCATCGATGGGAAGAATGTGCACCCTTTTGCCGTACTGAACATCGGGGCAGGACTGGATCGAGACGACATCACCCAATCGGACGCGGAGATTATTACGAATCACACGATTCATCAGAATCTTATCGTTTGGACATTTATCATCCGACAAGACGATGCAGACCGTTTCTCGGCGACGTTTCCCTTTCAGGAGGACTGTATCACCTCGGAAAATATCCAACTCGTCCATTTTCGCCTAGTCGATAAATAACAAACCAAATTTATTAGACTAACATGTCGATCAAACGTACCGACTGCAATAACCAAATAAAATGATACATCTTCAATTTACCTGCGACAAAGCCACCACGGAGTTATCATCTGACGGGGCCTCATCCACAATAAGCCGATTCGGTTTATCCTTCTTCTTCAAAATGGCCGTGGCCAGATCCTTGTCCTTATCGGCCATGCTGTAAGTCTTTATTTACTCAAACAATCACAGACAGACAGACAATCAAAGACGGTAAAACGTTTGGTTAGAAATAGTTAGAATTTAAATATCTTTATCAAAATGCGGACGACAACAAAGATACTTTTTCCTCCTCCTCTTTTGTCGACTCTTCAAAAAGCTACAAACTTTCTCTCCCCCCCAACAATTTCTACTTTGGAAATTTTGAAATGCGAGAATTATTTTATTCCTTTCGTTTCCAGAAGAACTGAACGAATAAAAATTTTCAGAAGGAGCAGAATAAATGACTGAGCGATTTCTTGACGAAACTGTGAATTTATGCTCCGTCACCGAGCCATTGCTCCCAGCATGACAGCGGGTCGTCCACTCCACCGTGCTCAATAAAATGCAAAAATTTAGTTCTTTATTACTCGCCAATTAATTTAACACTCATAAAACAATTTTTTAACTGTTCAAAATTGTTAATGATAAACATGATGATTTATTCATAAAATAAATAGATCCAGTTGAGGTCAGGCCCCAGAGATTTTATAATTTATTTCTTTATTTGATTTAATTAGCCATCTATTCTGATTTATCGTATCATCAAATAAATTGTTCTCATCTTATCATGTCATCTTCACGGGGCATGAAATATACGCATTTCCCTTCCTGTTAGACTGACCGGGACGAGGAACACGTATAACAAGGAAAGAATAGCAGCGGTGAGGGTGGTGAAACAGGGCAAATTATTCCGCAAAGTTGCCTGACTCTGGCCGACTGCGGCTGGTTTGTGCGTGCAATATAATGAAATGCAAGTTTTTTTAGCGGATTTTGTCATTGTTCAGTTTTCGTCGTTTTCATGAAAAGTTAAAAATTTATGGGATTGTATTATGAAATGTGTGAATTATGAAGGGTTCGATTCTCTGGATTTTCTACGTCGAATTTTAAAAGCTTTTCAAGTTTTCTTTGTTCAGGTGAAAAATAGACAAGTTTTTAAATGTGAGGAAAGTGAGATCCAGCAGAAGGCAAACCGGAGGATTCAAACTGACAAGAGATTTTTTTGAATGAATGAATCACAACAAAAATAAGTGATTGACATTGGAGAAAATTTTAGGATTAAATTGTTGCATAACTGACTTACTAATTGAGTTAAAATTAAAAGTGGTGATTTGATAGGAGCTTAAGAGTATAGGTGAGTATAGGAACAAATTCAAAATTATGAAAGTCTAAAGAGGCTTGTTATGAATCATAACTTATGATACGTTAATTTTGATGATGTCAACAATAATGTCAAATATTTAAAGTTGCATTGGGAGTTTGGGAGTTATTTTACTTCGTTTACATTTTAATTGTAGTTCTGATTGGTTGATTTTGTAGATCTGTGAGGAGCAAAGTCTTTGGTCAGGCCTAATATTTAGGACAACAAGAATCATCCGGGATTCATCATCATGGCTGGACTAAAAGGTTTTGTACAATTGTATAGATAAATTATAATGATAAGCAAGTTAAGGTACTAACAATGAATTTATTATTTATGCGTCTTGAATCAATCCGTACTTTTGGCTGACCAATAAACAGCGTAAGTATTTCGTGTTATTTAATTATAAAATGAGTTTGATTATTATAAGTAGAATTGCACAAAATTATTTCAGTTTGGTGACACTGGCGTTTTTTGGCAGCGTTGGAATGACCCTACTGGTTGTCGGATGCGCCGTATACGATAAGTATGTTGGTTCAGTATTAACTATTATACCTGATAAAGAATGCAATTTTCAAGTACAAGCAAACTTTGTACTTGAAAGCTTCCAACTTGAATAAATAATCAATAATATCCTCTGATGCCGTTGAAACAATGAAAAATTAAATATTTATATTAAGTAATTCAGCGTTCTTAAATAAATAATCTTATTTATATTACAGGTGGTGGCCATTCTTCGTCATAATATTCTATATGCTAGCCCCCATTCCGATGCTACTTGCGAAACGTTACAATGCTTCTGGGATGGGACCATCAAACCCTTGTCAAGAACTTGCAGTGTTGTAAGTAACGAATTATCAATCTAGTTTTCATAATCAACTCATTCAATTTATTTGTAGTCTGACAATGGGCATAGTAATTTCTGCATTCGGACTGCCAATAGTATTAGCAAGATCACCACCGGACGATCCAGCGGTATGAAGTGTATAAAATATCCAATGAAAAAATTCTTCGATTTGAAAACTGGCATCATTAATTAATTCTAGATTCAAGTGGCTGCCATGTGGTATGTTCTTGGTGGAAATATCATCGTGTTCCTGACTATTGTCGGATTTTTTATCACATTCGGCAACGACGACGTTGATTACTCCATGTGGTGAAGTGAAAGAAATGAGCTCACCATCTCCTTTCCTTCCTCGGATGGGAATTCTAATTACGAACGATATTTCACACAACCAAACAAAAAAATTTTCCAACCCTGTACCGACTTTGACTGCTTCACTCATCGTTATCGTTCTACTAAAAACTATTAAACTAAGGAATTAATCCATTACCAAATAATTCTACACATATTAAGATTGTCATAATATTATCATAGTCCTGCGCATATTTAGACATTATACATTTACTTAGCATTGTGTTATTCTGTTATTCATCTATTTTTTAAGATTTATATACTCGTCGTGTAGTCAATCTGATAACTGAAAAGTGACTGATGGTCTCTCGTTGCATAATATGGAAGTTAGTTGTAAGCCGCTTATGTTATTATCGTTGTATATTATGATAAGCAAATAGACCTACAATTAAATCAAAAAGAAAGGATTTCAATTTCTCTTTTGGTAAATAGGAAAATGTTTTAGATGGTATAGTGGCAAGGTTTTTGCACTTGGGGGTGTAAAAACTTTGGTATAAAGATATGAATTTTAGGAACTTTTTTCCAGGAAAGAGAAAAGGTTGTTACTTAATTATGATAATTTTATTTTATAGTTAATAATGGTTCAACGCTACTTGCATGCTGTAATAATATTTTGAAAACCGAGGTTAATTTAAATAAATACGTAAATTATTCATGTCTTTGATTTGTCACCAACCAAGCCACAATCTCATTTCATATCACACGTACGTAATTGCTACATGTGTACACACACGTTAGAGTACAAATCAACTCCCAATTGTGCAAACAACTTGAAGCTCAATGTTCATCTATGTCTGAATCATATCCATCATCTAACCGGAAATATGATTATGTAATATAAAGTTGAGTGTGAGATATAAGTGTCAATTAAAATCCTTCTATCTTGTTCCGTTTTTACGTAGATGAGATTTCCTGCTGGAATTAGATTACTCATCCGCATACATTTAGCATTAGTGAATTTATTATCATTATTAAGGGGTGAAAACCCCTTTATGGAAATGCCTTGTCTGTCTGTCTGTCCGTCTGTCTGTCTGTCCGTCTGTCTGTCTGTCTGTCCGTCTGTCTGTCCGTATCCACGATAACTTTAGAATGGATTCGAATTTCGACATGCGGTTTTCGCCAACGTGTTTCTAATTTTTGGGGACGGGATGAGTTCGAAGATGGGCGTTGTAGGTCGTAAGGTCACGGCGCCACTTTGATGACGACAACGGTCAAACGTGTCGAATTTTTTGTTTCCGCCGTTTTAGACGTATTTTTGGACGGGGATTTCAGAAATCGCCATCATTTCGACGTGCGATGACCGTCTGACCGTGTAGACGACGCCAAAGTCGAAAATTGTCGAATTTTTTGTTGCCACCATTTTAGACGTATTTTTGGACGGGGATTTCAGAAATCGCCATCATTTCGACGTGCGACGACTCCATGACCGTGTGGGAGGTGTCTAATGTCGAAAAAATGACTTTTGTCATGTGGGGTGTCTATTGAAAGGTATTGTCGTGTACGTTTGAAGTACGCGGGTGGGGGTGTCAAAACGGGGCAAAATGAGACGTGGGGTAATGTGAGACAATGACGGGAAACTGCAGAAAGACGTTGTGGGCGTGCCACAAAGACAATTCCGTGTGTTTTCACCCCTTTGCTACATTTCGTTTGCAACGGTTTATTATCTCATCATTTGCTTTTTACAAGTCATGAACAGTACTTCTCTTATGGAAATTGTATGATTTTTGTTAACACTGCTCATAACGTCGGAATGGAATGGAATAGCAGGATAAGATGAGCAAATAAATACACACCAAAGCGATATTTCATGGCTTGATCTTTTCATGCACCAAAATAGCGTACACACTATTTACAAATGTGAATGAAATCGTTATGATAAGGATGACCAACATTTTTCATGCAACGTTACATTACGTGACGGAGGGAGTTTGTACATATTTTGCTTCAATTTAATTTCATTACATTACATTACTTTAGTCCACGGATAAATGGATAGCAAATTTGCGAATAACAGAAACCAGACCGGCCGACGGGCAGAGCTTTGGTAAACTCGACCTCTCGATTATCATCACTGTTTGTTTTTCACCAGTTTTGATGATCTCATACCCATATTCTTATCAGGACTGAGTTTGATTTACCTGTTAGAAATGGATACTCACTCACTCAGGTCAATACAATTATATTGTGATGAGCAAAACAATAAGTGTGTAATGGAAAAGTTAACGCATAAGTACATATGAAAAGCATTCCAGTGTAAATACATAATAATATTAGTTGCACATACAGACATGAGAGAATGGTTATCGGAAATGACAAATCCTCACTATCTGAAGCTTATTGATCTCAGTTATCTCATCCAACGAGAAAAAGATAAGAGTGTCCTACTTCATCACCACCACCCCACCCAAGCGTGTGCTACATTTTGGGTGACCAGCTAAAGAGTCGAGATCAGAGGTACGTTACAGGAGAAATTCGAATTTGAGTGATTTTTACGCTAATTAAACAGAAGTTGGAAAATAATAAGATCGTGTCAAAATGGCAATTTCACATCACGCGTCCACATTTGTGAAGCTGTTAAAGCTGGTGAGTAGTGAGTTTTAGTGTTTTTTGGCGATATGGACGCATCCCGTTTTGTTTAAATTAAATGCTAAGTCGTTATTAAGTGGTCAATGTTAATTAATATATATGTACAGCTTATCAACGTGGTCGTTCTCGTCTTGTACCGCAACGGAGATGAGGGATACTTCATGGGGTCGTCATACAACAAGAATCATGACGCAGAAGCCTTGGCAAGTGGGGTTTTCATTGGATTTCTCATCTACAATTTTGCCGGATTGATTGCTGCTTTTGTCGATAGCAAATCGGGGAACCAGTCGATCACGGTAATATTTATTTGAAGTTGAAGATATGGACACAAGCCATTTGTTATGGACAATATTGAGAGTACTAAGCAATTTTTAATGTAATTTAGGAAGGTCTCATGAATTTTACTGGGGCTGTTTTATGGGTGACAACGGGAGGTGTGGTTCTCCAATTTTGGCTCCGATTCATCCCTGCAAACCATTTCACAGAGACGAATCCTTCCGCTGTGGGAATAGCGATGGGATGCTTGTGTGTCATAAATGCGGCCGTGTACCTTGCAGACACGGTCTTATCCTATGCCAACTATAGGTCACTTGAATGAACAATCCAACCTTAAAATTATACATCTTCTTGTCTTCGTTGTGTTAGACGTAAGCTATAATAATTTATGCTGAAATTTGTACCAAGTTTTTTGCTAGTCATGTTATGACTCATACTACATACAAGGTCAGAAACGGAAATGATGAGACGTAACATGATATATACATACATTTATCATTTTAAGATTCAGTTTGAAAATTATTTATGTCTTTTACTAAGTTGTTTATAATGTAATTGAATAAATATATAAGTTTGATTAAGTCAGAAAACAATTATTTCTATAAATTGTGACAATTTCATAAAAAAAGTATAAAACCAGAAAATTAATAGAATAAAGTACATCACAGTACGTGTCATAACTGATGCAAATAATATGGCAAGGTAAGTAATCAGACTACATAATTTAAAATTGTGTAGTTATAATATCATAAGGATATGGATTGCATAAAAGCAAAAATGAGTGGCCCACCTAATAACCAATATCGTTAAGTATTAACTGAAACGTTTTAAACCAGTTGAGCCCAATCTTGTAAAATGTGTTCACAATGGGTCGGCGTAACTTTGTATCATTAGATCTGTTAGATGAGTTATCAAAATTGCAAATTTGGTTCATTGCTTGATTAACTAGAACTATTGCAATTAATTGTAATTACAACTCTGACTTGTCGCTCGCCGTGGTGGTGTCGGTGGTTGTTTCGTCTTCGGGAGCATTTTCATCTGCATCTTTTGCGTCTTTGGTATTTTGGTCAATGTTTGTATCGTCGTCTAGTGGAGAAAGTAATTTTTTGACAACTCCGTTCATGGAAGTCATGATTCCATCGACATCGTAATAGTAGTATTTGTACTGAGGATTCCCCTCGGTATTTATCACGTCATCCATAAGCTCGCCTTTTGGGCCTAAAAATGAGTATTAGAACCATGTAGAAAGTTTATATGTAATCAAATCAAATAGTAATTATTAACTAGTAAATCCGACTCACTGAAAAACAGAATCCTGGGAATGTAACCACCATCAGGTCGGTAAAGTTCTTCTGGGGGTTCTTCGTCGTCCAGGACGTTGACCATGACAAACTTCTTGCTAAGCTCCCCGAGTTCTTTCGACTCTTTGATTTTCGGTTTAAGTGCTATCAATCAAAATCAGAAGAAAAAATATAGACTGCAATTAATAAACATATTTTTAAAAAAACTCACATCGGCAAGCCCCACACCATGACTTGTGAATGATAAGCATGAGTGGTTTATCCTCTTTTTCGGCGATTTCGAAGCCTTCCTTCAACGGGAGCCAAGTGATATGCTGGCCCAATCCATGAGCAGCGTCGTTCTTATCTTCCTCATCTTCAGGGTCCAGTTGTCTTCCTCCAGCAGAACCCACGATCACAATACATGTCAAGGCAACTATTCCGCTAGTAATTGCGAGCAGGGAGAAGGTGGAATGGTTTCGAAATCTCCAACCCCACATTATTTATAAATACAATTATTTATAGATGACTAAATTAATGTAATTTATGTAATACAGTTTCTCTGACTGGAGACACGTTCTGTATTTTACCTGAAAATAAATTTAAAAAAAACGTTTTGTATTTAGATAAAATCTTACCTAAATTATGCTAGTTATATTATTAATAATTACACTTACTTAAAAAATAGAAATGAATTTCTGGAAATCTTCATTCTTGTTTGTTGTTCCGGCTGACTTTCCCCGCGAGCAAAAGCTTTGAGCATGAGCTCTTTCTCTCGGGATCCATTTGGCTTCTTCTTTGTCAAAAATGCCCGACAAAACAAGGACGACGGAATAAAATATTCGCGAATTTCTCGTAAGAGATCTACAAAGCTGTAACTTGACAGAAATTCTCCATTTTACTGTTTATTTTAAACCGTGGATTGGAAGAGGTAATGTTTTGAAAAGTATTAAATAATAAGTACTCATTATTTACGCTGATTGATAATGTCTTACAGAATCTGTAATACAGATCATCTGAAGATAAGATAAGATGCCGAGACGAAAGAGTGCACGAGCAAAAGCTGAAGCTGCAAAGAAAGTGGCACCTTTAGCTCCACCCCCCCAAAAGGCTTCAACTTCTACGAGGGGAAACGTCGTCGCGCCGCCACCGCCGCCGCCAGGAAGGAAATCTGCACGGACCAAGACGGCGGTGGCTTCCGCAACATTTTTCGACTTACCACCACCACCCACTCCAAGGATTCGTTACGTGAGTCTTGACATCAATCAGTAACCACGTGACCTAATGCTTAATATTTTTAATTTAGGACGAAGAAGACGACGAAGGTGCCACAGCTCATCTCCCACCACCGGTCGAACCACTCCCAGAAGTCAGCGGGAGCAGTGATGGCGGTAGTGAGAAAAATACCAGCACGAGCAGTGAAGGAAAGTCTGGCGATGATGATGTCGAGGAGGAGGAATCTGAAGAGGTTGGAGCTGGTCCAGCGCAATTAGTAGATCTTGAAGCTGGCGACGATGATGATGATGATGACGATGTAGAGGAAGAAGGAGGTACAGCTCCTGTTACGCCGAAACCAAGAAAGACTGCTGCCCAGGAGGCTGAACTGATCAAGCAACAAGCCATCCCACGCCCCGTCATGATATCGCACTCTGGGGCCAAAAGCAAGATAAATATTCTCTCTGGGTATGTTAGTTCTTTTGATAATTATCTAGCCGCGTTTTATTAAATCATGGTTTATTAAACAATTTAAGGGTGACAATGACGATTGATGAAATGGTGCACAACTGCGTATACTATTTTATCATGAGCCAGCACAAGAAGCATCCTGTTAAGAGGTCGGATCTCCTGAAGAATTGTATGAATGGACAGAAGAAGGATTACAACGCCGTCATGGCCAAATTCGAAACAGTTCTTGCCGACAACTTTGGAATGAAGATTATTGGATTGGACAAGGGCAAGTCGGGCTTTGCGACTTACATGATTGTCAGCAATTATGTGAACGATGTAGCAGAAACGGTCACCGTGCGAACTCCGGAACAATATGCGAAGCGAGCGGCACTCTTTTTGACACTGACTATTATGTTCATGCTGAACAAACCGATGGACGAAGGTGGGTACATGTTTTTTGTTATCAGAATTAATATTTTTTAAATTTTTTTCGTGCAGACCTACTAATGTCGAATCAAATAATATTTTTGTCCAGAGTCTATTTGGAATCTCATTGAGGAGTTTGAGTTGCAAAAAATGTTGTGCAACAAGAAAGAGGATTTTGCAAAATTTCTGAAATCGGTAATTAATCGTAACTGTAGTCAATCGTATTTAGAAGTGTTACCTTCTTAAACTTTGGTTCATTTCTACAGGAATATGTCCTCCCGATGTATTTTTCGGCCGAAGAAGTTCACGATGCTGATAATGTTGGATATAAGTACTTCTGGGGGCAGCGTGCTGAACATGAAATAAGCAAGTGGGCAATTTTGAAGTTTGTTGCAAAAGTGAGTCACCAAATTCAATATTTAATTTACATATAATTCAGTTTATTGAACATTCGTTTTGCTCGCTTGTTTAGCAATTTCCCGACATGAGACCCGAGGATTTCGAATTTCAACTCCAGTTAGCCAAAGAAAAAGAGAAGGACTTGATTGAGGCGGAGATAGCTGCGCGTGACGCTGCTGTTGTCGATCCGGCATCTGGAAAAAATGGATCCGCATTGAAAATTGGGGAAGGACCTGATGCTCAACTTGCTATTGGTATTTACTTGGATTAAACATTTTATATTCCTCAAAATGCTTAAATGTGTTCTGTTTCATTCTTGTAGAAGGAATTCAAGATGCTGGAGCTATGTCGCAAGCCGAGGAAATTGAGGATGATGATGACAATGAGGCTGAAGCTGACTCAGACGAAGGAGGCGAGGAGGGAAAGAAGCAGAAACAGGGTAAAAAGAAGGGTAAAGGAGGGGACGAGAATGAGGAGGAATCTGGGTCCGGAAGTGGGGAGGCAGAGGGGAGCGGAAGTGATGAGAGCAGTGGAGAGGGGAGTGGTGGAAAAGGTGCCGAAGAGGAAGATGCAGGGTCAGGATCAGGGGAACAAGAAGAAGGGACTGATTCTAATCAAGAGACTGGTGAGGATTCGAGTGGAGAAGAAGTGCCGTGATTGTCACAGAGCAGGTGTTTATACCAATCATTTATTGATATGTAATCCCCAATTAGTATTAATTTGCACTCTCTGATTTACAGTTACTCTCCTCCATTGTCCATATCCCTTGGGAATATGGACATTCGCGACGACTTCCCAGACTTGTCTGATTTATTTGCCCAATTTAATGTAAATCAGCAACCTGAAGAGAACGGCGAACATTTACATATTACTCCAAGACTTTAAAGGGATGATGAATATCTTGTGCCAAAAATGTACTCATTTCATATTATTTTCCTATTTCAAATTGGAACAATTAAGGATGTCTTTAACGCTTCACTTCAAAGTACAAAATTGCGGCGTGATCCTTATATCGTGCATACTTAAACTTGCTATCATTTTAATTATCATCCACCGCCATTAATACGAAAACTATGTAGCTACGTATATATTTACATACCACAAGGGTATCAGGCAAAACCCTCCTTTTAATTTGAACTGATCATCGGCAAATAATTTGCTGACTTGATAATAGAAAATGAGCTGGTCACAATTCCTGAAATGATGTCGAAACGAATTCTGATGTGATGCATGAAATACCAACACATATTCTTATTCTTAAATAGAGTAGAAAATGAAGAATTAGGGATAAATACATTGAAATTCTCTGTGTTATATGTTAGGAAGGACGCTTATGTTTTAGTCATTAAATTATCAAATGGATTTTTTGTATTCTATTCTACACTATTTCTTAATTCTTAATCTAAGATTCTACATTGTCACATTAAAATGAATACCTTGTGCATAGTTATTCTTTTACTAAAATTACTCTTTTACTTGCACATGAAATAAGAAGGTGTGTTTTTACGTAATATATTTTTCTCAGTGTTTTTTTTTACATTTTATTTTGAGCTGTTTTCCAATATTTTATTTGTGACAACCAAGTATAGTGCTTATTGTACACAATTTTAAACGTTATATGATTCCGGACTGTAGGTGGATATAAATCTTAATTTGAAATAGGTTAATGTAGTCCTCTGAAAATCAGAGTATAGCAACATCATTGTGTTATTATGTGATGAGGCATATCTATCTTGTAAAGCTAATAAAATTCTGCAGAACCTATGTATTTAAAGTGCATGAAAAAATTGACGCTTTTCATACTTTCCCCAGTGCTACAAATGTGCCTGTAATTTACACACTAATGTTAAATTCATTTTGCATTTGGCTTAGATATTGCACAAGCTGCATGTATTCGTAAACAATTTTTGTCCCCGTCAAAGTGTACAATTTTATAAGTAAAATTGAAATAAAGAAAAATCCTGAAAATATATATGCATTCAAGAAGCATTTTACACGCAATTGAGCAACTTTCTCCGCGCGAGTCCATTCCATGCTCACTCATTTCACCAGAAAACAAAATATTAGTTTAGCTTATTTAATTGTTAAACAATTTACTAATGCAGACATCTTCAAACATAAGCAATTGCGACACAATTTTTAAATACAGCAGGTAAGAGTACTATTGATAATAGTCTATTATATAGAGATTCACCTTAACTTAACTTATACTTGATTACATATATTTCATATTTATTTGTCTACTAGCAGTGCTGACTTTCTCTAATCGTGAAAGTTCTCCGAAGAAATTATTCAGTTCCATTAGGAATTGAAAGTTTGGAGTGGGAGGCAATTCTAATTTCGAAACGTTACAAGTAAATAATTAAAATTACGTAAATAAACTTAAATAATCATAGAACAAATCATTATATGGTATGTTTGTACATTTAGATTGAAACCAGATGTCAAACCCATTGAATTAGCATTATCAGCCATTGTCAAAAAATGCCTAGCGTGATAAAATCCCTCCTGATGTCGTCGAAATTTGGATTCCGATATAGTGCAACACACCCCTCATTCAGAAGAACCATCATTTCCCTACAAACTCCACCCCTCACACGGCCCTTTAGTCAGTCAGCACCTCGACCCAACTATGAAGGCGATGGAAAAACGACAGTAACAATTCTAAACCACGAAATCGACTCGCCTCTCATGGTCGACGGTTATCATGAGAATGGCTTCAAGCTCAACAATGGTTTCAATGTGCGCGGACCTATGGCACTCTTCCCGAAATCCGTTCTCGCATGGGACGTTGGCAACGCGTCGCAGATAACGCCAGAGTCACTCGCATTATTTACCCTGCTAGAACCAAAGCTGGACGTTTTGATCATCGGGGTGGGCGACGCTGGGAAACAAATCCCAAAAGAAACAATTAAAGCGCTCCAACTGAAAAAGATCAATTTCGAAATCCTTCCCACCGATCATGCCCTTGCGACGTTTAACTTTCTAAATTTTGAGCGGCGTTGCGTTGCGGCCGCACTGCTGCCCCCGTTGACCATTTCATACGGGTCGGAAGACCTGCTTAGAAATAGGATGGATAAGAAAAAAATGTACGATCCGACCGAGATTGATTAGTAAAAAGTTTAATAATGTTAATGTTAAGCATTTGTTTTAAAACGCTTATATAATTGTTTCTTAGTAATAAAAATGAAAGTTCATCTCGTGATAATTTATGATCAGCAGTTATTGTTTGATAAACCATGATGCGTCTCATTTTGATCAGCATCTACTAATTAATTATTTAATTGCTTGTCCACTTCTTGTTGTGCATAACATTATTAATTCACTTTACCTGTCAATCAATCATCGACGCTGCTGCTACGCATACGTGCTGCACATTCGATTAGCAGGAGCTACATGTGTTCAATTGCTTCGTCATTTAATTTTCGAACTGGTTTTATACCGGATTTAATAAAATTGACAAATTGTTCCAGCCAGGTATGCAATGCACATGATAATGCAGTTGGCTGTACGATGAGATGGCAGATAAATACTTTTACGTTGCCCAATACACTGCTAATCTCTGTACTGGGGATATCCAAACTAATTGATTTCTCAGTACAAATTCAAGGTGACATTGTTTAAATATGCAAGTGTATAAATACATGCACTCGAATATTATGACAGAGATAAATTGTCTAAATTTGAGAGTATTTTGTTATATAATACTGTTACTCAAAATATGAGCACAATGTGAATTCATGGAACGTTTGCATACAAATTGTAATTCTTATCTTCCTTCAAACATGTTTTTTTCTGGACGAAGAAATAATAAAGTTGTTAAAATATGGCAATTGGATTAAGTTATTCCTTAATTTGGGCTGGACATGACGACTTCGCATGGTCTTTATGTTTTTTGACCTCGTCGCATAGTTTTAGCTCGGATAGTGGTACAATAAGTGGTATACATATACAAATGTGTTGTTGTATAATGAAATTTATTATTTGCCATTTAATTATTTATGTGCGTGGGGTTTACTTTAGCTTTTGCACAATGCACACAAATTTTATTTATGTATTTGCTTAAAATTCAGGTGCAAGGACAAAAAAGGTGTGATGGTGTGAGTATATAGGTATATGAAGTTTGGTAGGTTGGGGAAATGCAGTTTCATTGCCGTCCATTCTTGGAACTTTCACCTGCAAAATATTTTATTGTTCCAGTCAGTAATAAGCCAGCAATTTCCAGTTTTTGTTGGCCGGTTAATAATCCAATCTTTAATTGGGTGGAGATTGCTAACTAAATAATTGTTTCGATTTTATTCTAGATGGTTAACCCAGCACAACCTAAATTGACACCTCCGCAACTGATATGCTAAAATCCGAGCTACATAAGTACTTTATTTAATATGCATTAAATTCCAAATTCGGAAATGTTTCGTCTAAAACCTCTGGAAAAGCAGCATAAAAACACAAATTGTATTTATTCTAGAACAAAACTAACGAGATTAATAAATAAAATGAAATGATGCGTGGGGTAAAATTGGCTCTGGATTAACATTATACAAACTGGAAAACTGGTTTTAGAAAAAATTGCTTATCATATTTTTTAGCATGCACATATGTGGATTATTGTGGATACAAAGAACTGACTGGGTGCTGTAAACTTCATTTTATTTTTTTAGATTTATGATCTTGGACTTTGTACATTTCATTCCTCTTTCTGCACACTTTTTGCAGATGCAATAAATTCTAATTTTAGTCCAATGTGGGTTGTTGGGATCGATTTTATAATTTTTTTCTGCTAATAATGACATTTTTGTGTGCAATTCTTGTGAATTTTTAGTCTGCAAAATGATGTATATTTTTCATTTGCGTATAATTGAATCACTCCCATAAGTTCTAATTTTATTAGGGTATTTAAAACCAGGACGTAAAACGACACAAATCGTTTGTCGTCGTCGTTTTATAACTATTCAGCAATTTCGGAAAGATTGTGGATGATAAAGTTTGCCGTACTTAAAACGATATCATGCGAATATTAAGCAGACCAAAGTATGCATAACTATATTTTTTAATGATTTTGTCAAAATCTGAAACAGCCTTGAGACGAGACATGATTGTGACGATATCAAGATCACGTCTATGACCGAAGTAATTCCATAATTGTGAACAAACATTGAAATAAATTAAAATTATTGGGATAACTTCCTTATTTATTTTCATAATACTCTGATAACACAACATAGCACAATTTTATGTCGTATTTTTATTTCATTTTGTATTTTTTCAAAGTCTGAATTTAATTTGCGAGTTTGGCGTAGGCACCTTGACTCTGCGAAGTTTAATTGTTTCATACAAATTCACATATTAATTGATTATTTAACTACATAAATAAACTCTAAACGACTTCTAGAAAAAGATTCCATTACGTAACTGGATAAGAATTCCATGATGCAATTATGTTTGTAGTATGAAATTCTATACGAAAATATGCCACCAAAACAAGTAAGTGTATCAACAATAATTAAAATCACTTTGGCAAAATCGCATCTCATCTCGCCAATATTTACAGTTTCATTAAACATTTGTTTGATCATGTGCGAATAATTGTGTTTGATGTTATTTTGTGTTTCATGAAATTAATATTGTTATGCTACCCATATGTACACACATACATACGTCAATGCATTATATTTGTGTGTGCGTTGGTACTACATGCCCACATACATAATTGTACAACTTGTAATTATAATTGTCGCCTCGTTGAGTGAATCCTTATTAACTCGTTAAAAATTAAAATGGTGAGGTGGTGGGGAGATTGAGATTTGCGACAGATAAGAAGGATTGAAAGCTTATAAATTTAGGTGCCCATCAGTTTCCAGTCCATGGTACTCAGCACTCGGTACCGCACAAGCTAACCGACTCGACGCGTAATACCAGTTAACAAAATTTAATCAAGAGTGTTCGTGAGATTGTGTAATTTTATCGGAAAAATTTCCCGAAAAATCAGACCAGACGACACGTTGTTTTTTTTTTCTCGGGAAGAAAAGAATAAGGTAAAATTATCTGCATTATTATGCACTTTTTGCGTATCAAGCAAGAAATTTGGCATTCCCAATAATGCAATTAGACGCAAAAAGTTGTTATTTAGTAGTGCACTTTAATCAATTAGTGTCAATTTTTTGGCAAAGAGTTGCAAAATCTTTTTTGATTAATGTCTCTACCTGCGGAGATCTTTGACTGCACACGATCAGAAAAGTGCATCTCTCCTGAGAATTCTGCACTATTCGCGAATACCTAGAAAAAGAAGATCCACATAAAGTTCAAACAAGTTTTTCCCCATGAGCCAGCCAGCCCCAGTCTGTCATCATCACGTCCACATTAATCTCGCCACTCGAACAATATAAATATTCGCCCACCACTGACCACTAAATACATCACATATTAATTTAATGCATCCAGTTTTACCTACGTACATAATTACAGGCAGCGCAAAATCCCATAAGTTGTTTGTGCTCCTTTTATGCACCATGATGATGACTCCAAATTCGCGAGTATTGTTTACTTATTTGTGAGAATGTACGTACGTAATCAAGACAGTCGTGGAAAAAAGTCCATTATTTAATCGAAAAGGGTATCTGTCTCGATGATAATTTTCCATTATGGGCAGATTTATCCGGCTTGTTCCACCCGAATCTGGTATTATTTGGATGAAACGGCTCATAAACAAGTTGCGACTTTTGCTCCTCTGCGACAAATAGGTGCGATTCTTTTATCACGAGGATGATAAGGACATGAAGCGTGCAAATGTATCTACATATGTACGTGCAGGTGTATGTACATAAATATGTAGGCAAGGCATCATAATCGCCATAAAATAGAATTCAACTGGTACTGCATACCTACATAGCTCGTCTTCTCTCTCGTAGCAAATATCATGAGATTGGTGGCTGCACAGTGATCACCATCCGAAATAAAAGCGTAGGTCGTTGTTTTGAAGGCACCACGCCAATATGGGGCAGCTAAAAGAGATCCACATTGATCACTACCAAGAAATTCTTAATTCTCTTACGTACAAACAATGCTTTTAGAAGGGAAATAACGCTGATGACATCAAGAAAGATGAGAAAAATATGGTATTTAAAATAGCAGCTAGTACCCAAATAGCGACACAGTATCAATCCATCGGAGGTTGAGGAAATACAAATAACTAAGTGTGTCCCTGACCACTTTTCTAATTTAAATAATTTATTTTCAGAGAGAAAGTGAACAAACGTGGTGGTACACTAGCACCATTTTTTGTGTCTCAATTTCCCATCTACTCCCAATTAGTCGACGTCCTCCTCCACGATGAAGACTGAACTCCTTCACTCGTACAGTTCCACGAGTTTGTCCGCCCTGTCGCGATCTCCATCCAGCCCTTCATTCCTAGGCAGACTTAGTCCTCCCACCAAGGGAGACCTTACAGGGAGTGGAAGTGGTGGTAAGGAGAATGGCGAGAAGAACGGTAGCTACACGACGTTAGAGGACTATGCCGTCACACCAGAACCGTTCGTCGGCGAGGAGGAAGGCTGTTGCTCAAGCTGGCTAAAGAATACTTTCACGAAGAAAAATATTACGAAAAAGTTTCCCGTCCTTTCATGGCTTCCGACGTACAACGTTTCAAAACTCGTGTCCGATTTCATCGCGGGGTTGACGGTGGGACTAACGCTGATTCCACAGGGGCTCGCGATGGCGTCAGTGGCAGGATTGCCTCCGCAGGTGAGTGGGAATTTATGTCAAATTGTAAAATTGTGTGGATTGAAATTTTGAAATTGTGTACGCAGTACGGACTTTATTCCGGTTTTATTGGATGCTTCGTCTACATCTTGTTCGGAAGTACGGAGTCCATTACCATCGGACCGACAGCTATCATGGCGATTATTACGGTAATAATTTTATTACTGCTGTAAATAATACATAACGAAGCCATTATGGATTATTACAATATTTGTAATTATGTAATTACAGTTATCATATGCACAAAATAAGCCTCCAGAGTATGCCATTCTTCTTTGTTTTATTACCGGCGTGATGACACTTCTCATGGGATTGTTGCAATTGGGTGAGTGAAGCAATTTTTTGGAGCAATTTTTTTTACTTATCAACTCTTTGTATGGTATGTATGATACCTACTCTGCTCACGGGTTATCATACAATGGAGGATTAATCCCCTCGTGAAGTTTGATCGTTCAACAAGTTGTTTTTTTACAAAATGCTAAATGCCAATCTTGTTAATCTGTTATTGTTTTTGTGCCTTTTGCATGACATCATTGTACTGTAGATACCAATAAGTTGCGAAATTTGTGCATGCACATAGTTTACAACTTATGCGTTTTATGTTGTTTTTTTTACGGTCAGTTTAACAGGATTAATTTTAAATCCATCCAGGTTTCATAGTGAATATATTTATCATATTGTTATATATTATAGGGTTCATAGTGAACTTCATCTCAACTCCCGTAAGAAATGAACTAATTTTTCTGAAATTAAGAAATTTATTTAGATATTAATTAATATTAATAATATTAATATTAGGTGACTTCCGCCTTCACATCCGCAGCTGCCATTACGATCTGTTTCACCCAGGTGAAAGCCCTCCTCGGCCTGAAATTCCCAGCTGAAGGGTTTCTAGACGTGACGAAAGGGGTCATCAAGAACATTGGCGATGTCCAAGTTAACGACTTGATGGTTTCATTAGTCTGCACGATTGTCCTGCTCGTTTTGAGGGTAAGCACTATAAAGTGGATAAGTGTAGATAAAGATTTTTTACAAGTAGGATCATTTACTGCGCCTTTAATGACTTTGTTATTTGCTACCTTTTTTGCAAATTGCAATAACCTTATCTACATGTGGTTGAGCAATTTGGTTAAACAACTTGAGCATCTCTTTTATGATTGAGTGGGAGGCGTGGTGGGATTAATGTCTTATGCATCGTCTCATCTCTGTTTTATGGTTGAGTAATATGACATAACTATAATTACGATGATTTTTTTATTACCCACTTTAGAAATTACAATCTATCTGTAAATGTGCGGCCCAGTGTTCCAGCGCGTTTGATAAGTTCTTATGGGTAAAATACTAAAACATACGCTATCGGCTTGATATTTGGCATATGCAATATTATGAAATACATATTCACATATATAAAATATTCCAGGTGGTTGCTACCTCCAGGAGTGTGATTGTCATTGTGGTTTGCACTGGGATTTTTGCATGGGTTGGTGACGAAGGAATCGTTGCCTTTGTTGGTATGTGGAATTACGTTGTTTTACATAGCACTTGAATTAAGTCATTTATTTATTATGCCGTAAAGTTCACAGAGTATGCATGCATGTAATGTCACTCTCTGTCTGTCTGTCGGTCAATCTAATGAATGGATGACAATGATTGATGATGACGACGTAACCTGAAATTCTGCTAATTACAAATTATTTATTATTAATAGGCAATGTTGAAGGAGGTCTTCCCCCGTTACAGGTATGTAATTGTAAATAAATGGGATTTGTAGCATGTGGTGGGAATTATTCAAAAAATAATACTGATATTTCACCATTTTAGTTGCCCCCATTCTCCTTTTCCGGAAATGGGACCACTCCCGTCACTGAAATTAGCCCGGAATGGGAGACTTTCACTTTCATGGATCTTCTTAAACAGGATAGTTCTGCAATCATTGTGTTGCCACTGTTGGCTTTGATGGAGCATGTCACCATTGCCAGGTTGTATGCTGGATCGGGACGAGTTGATGCTTCCCAAGTGAGACAATGCACTTTTTCATACGCGAGAAAACAGCAACAAAGTGAAACTTTTTGTTAATTTTGCTTCTAGGAAATGATCTCGATCGGAATATCAAACATTTTGGGAAGTTTCTTGAGCAATATGCCAATCACGGGGTCGTTCTCAAGAACAGTGGTCAACAAGGCGAGCGGTGTGGCGACTCCGATGGGTAATTAATTAACTAAATGAGCTTTGACAATTAAACCATAACTGTAATTTAATACCCGATTATTGGTACAGGTGGACTTATAACTGGCGTCTTGGTCATGGTCGCATTGCAATTTCTCACTCCATGGTTCTACTTTATCCCTAAAGCTGCCCTCGCTGCAGTCATTTGTTGCGCAGTTATTTTTACCATCGATTTAGAAATCTTGTACCCAATGTGGAAGAGCAAAAGTGAGTTATAAAACTAATGATAATTAGTAAACATTTTGGTAATAAATTTGCATTCTGTGTCTCAAGAAATGGACCTTCTTCCTTGGTTTGCCACCTTTGCCGTCAGCCTCCTGGTCGGATTACAATTTGGCGTCTTGGTGGGATTCATCATCAGTGTTATTTTCCTCCTCTATTGGGCAGCCCGACCTGGAATCCGAGTCAAGAGGGGTCAGGTAAGCGCTTATCACAACTCACGAAATCCATTGTCATTATTGCAAAAACCACTCGAAAGTATGTAATGTATTCCATTTTATGCATACATGCAAACTTTTTGTCAACAAATGAGCTTACGATTAGCAGAAATTACTGAATTGATTTAGTGAATGATACCTAAATATCATGAGTTTTTGCATTTTTTATCTCACCTTGAGTTCCATTTTTCCCCACCTGTGCACTTTTATTATCCTGGATTTACTTATCACGTTCTTTTATTGATTACATTTCAGACATCCTCCGGAATCGAGTTCATCTTACTGGACCTTGATCGCTCACTCACCTTCCCCTCCATGGATTACACGAGGTAACAAAGTGATGCATATCCTTACTGCTGAATTAATAATTTACCTAACTTTACCCCCTCCACTTATCAACATTGGTACATTTTTTCTCCCCAAAAACAGGTACATCATGATGAAGTCTGGCACGGTTTGGGCGAAGGGAAGCATTCCGCTGGTTATTGATTGCCAACATATTCAATTCGCTGATTACACTGCGGCTCAGGTAATACTTTGACAAGTTATCATTCGTTCTCGGGAAAAAACATGGGCTAAACAAAACTTTTTAAACGCAGGGTGTGCGTGACCTGTTCAAAATATTTAATGACAAGAAACATGAACTCATCCTGTACCAGGTGAAACCATCCGTGGTAAGATACTTGAAAATAAATAATGCTCACCAGTAGCACCACACCACACTATGATTTGCATATTCATTACTTACATAAATATTTAAATGTTATATAGGTTCGGATATTCACCAGTGTTCTGGAACTCAACAAAATTCCGTACAAATGTTGCTCAAACGATCAGCAGCTTGAAGCAGCACTTGAGTGTATGCGTAATATATAATTTCATCAATCAATCAATTGATAAATGTCAACTCATCACACGATCATGTTCTAAACTGTGTTTATTTTTTTTACGAAATGTGCAGCTTACATGAGAGCAAAAGAAGATAAAAACGACGTAAAAATTGTATTCTCAATCGCTGATGATGACAACTCATCGATATCCGACGAGAGTGAGGAGCAGAATAATAAAGAGGGGCAAGATGAGAATTTGCCACCACCACCCCCACCGTCAGGTCAAGGGCAAGGTCATGTCAATGGGGCGGCGGTGTTTGACTTGAGCAGAGAGTGAGATCAAAGGTCATCCAAGGAGAATAAATAAGGATTTACCTTTACACTTAGTACCGAATGAAATTATGTACATACATGAGAAACGAGACGAAACGGGTGTCGAATACTTTTTTTTAGAGCGCTGCGCATTTTTTGACCTTATATTGTTACACAAAGTATTACTTTTATACGCCACAAATTCAAGTACCCATTTACATACCACTTACTGTAAATATGTGACTGTTACTCCTTCATTTTACTTACAAATTATGTATATAACTTGCAACTTTACAAACTTTACATGTGTTCTTGCCCCCCTTGTTCAGTGTTGTTACATATATTCATACTTAATTTATACTTGTGATAGTGGTGTGATAATGCAATTTATGGTTATCACACCCTTGTTTGTTACGAATGTCATTTGTGCCAATCTTTTGAATAAATGATGTCCGTTATTATGATTCTACAGTTTGAAGTTTCTCATGAATTTAAAGTGACGCCTGTCATGTCATCTTTTCCACTTTGCGGAATTATTGCAGTATAAACCTCGAATTCGGTCGGAGGAGTAGGATTCGGTTCTCCGAATACCGGGTAGATTCCGAGTTTCTTTCTCGGTGTGTAGGTATAGAAGAAACTCATCTCATCCAAGAAGCTGCTGCTGTAACGTCATGTGTCACCATTTTACATGCCATGTACACGAAAAATATAATGGTTTGGAGCGATATCGTGAGAAGTAGAAAGGTGGTGGGCACGGGACGACGAGGAGAAGGAGGAAGATCCTTTAGCCTTTCTTTTCCTTCTTCTTGACTAAAGAAGCTTATTGTGCTAATGTACAGTTATCAGGAGCAGTTATCGGGGAGGAGATGATCTTCTCCTACTTCTTCTCACGCTAAAATCTAGCCATTCTTCATCCGCATGTGAAAAATATCGGCCTTGCTCAACTTTAACAAACCCAGATTCAAAATAAGTTTTGCTTTGGCCAAGTAGTGGATTGGGTGCCAAAAGATGATAAGACTTTTACTCTTGGATGAGAGTCCCCCAAACGATACGAACTTTAGTCCACGATTTTGTTGTGCAATAATACCGCAGTAGAACTAGACCCTGTACATGATCGTCTCCATTATCGCCACAGTTTAGCAGAACGGTATTTATTGTGTGCGAGATAAAAGTTATTGTATTTTATTGAAATATTTTATTTATTTCTAAATGTTTTTTTTGCGGACATAACTGAGGAGAAAGTTGGAGTTTTTTTTAGTCAAAAAGTGAATGTGATTTAGCGGTTGACGGTGTGAATGTGTTTTTATATATAAATTATTCTTAAAAATGCCTTCCTCTGGGGCAACGGGGGTCGCCGTGGGAGGTCACAATGGCTTCAGTCGTGGCAAGACGATTTTTGTACTCGCCGTGGTTGTGGGATGTTTCGCCGTCTTGTGGCCGAGAATTTTCTACCCTATGTTTACAGCCTCGCTTATCGGCGACTCGGGGGATGAAGGTAATTTATGAGAAAAATTATTTACTGCTTTAAACCATTGACATGTAAGTATGTTCACATATGTGTGAGTGCTAAACTTGTAAATAACACGGAAATCGGGATTTAAAAGCGTTTTAAAGGTTGATTTAAGGTCAAATAATATTTTCAAAAATGCACATTTGTCTAATAATGGACCACACGTTTATTTATCTTTTGGTGCAATGATTGACACCAAAGTGTGGGGAAACATGTGCATATTTCGTTCGACGTTTAGATCAATCACGCCACGCCGGCGATTGATAAAGGAAGAAAATCCGTAAATTTTATTTTTGAAAGGGAGTAAGTAAGTAGTTAAAAGCTGTGTATTTACTTACACTGGCGAATTGGGATAAATTCATATACGAAAAAAAGTGTGTTGGTGGTACTAGTAAGTTTTCATGGCACTGATTTTCAACATCATTTTCATCATCATATCCAACGAGATCTTGGTGAGTTAGTGACTTGGCTTGCCGTGGTCACAAATACCTCTAAACTTCAGCGTGGTTGGAGCCGACTCATCTAAATTTAGCTTCTGACTGACTTTCTTCTTCTCAAACTGCATGACTTTACAACAGTTGCAAAAACTCAGACTTTTATATACACGTTTGTCCTCCATGACTGCATAATCCCTACTGCCCTGAATATCTCGATAGCTTTTTGCTCATCGTCGCAGTGTTAACTCATCATCGTGAATATCACAATTTCACGGATACGCAATGAATATTATCCTCCCACAACTTCCTGTCGGTTTATGCGACTAAAGTTTGATGAGATGCATTTAAAATATGGCGTGTAGAGCTCAAAAATTATGTGCGAAACTCAATTAAAATTCAGGGATGGCAAATAGGTTAAATTTACACAATTAATCTGCAGCCCGTGCCGTCAATCATGCCATTAATAAATAAATTAATGCGACACGGGTGTGTACATTTGTAACAGGAAGGTCATCGTATTAAAAAAATGTGATATGTTGCTTTAATAAACTACTAACCACCTCGAATCTATTATTAATTATGAACAAGTTATTATTTTGATTTTTTGACCATGTTATTTTTTTACTCTGTGCCATGTACGAATCTGTAGTCTGCTGCGACGTTATGTCAGAAAAAGACACGAACGCGTACCACTTAATGACAGAAATATGTGGCAACATACTTCGTCGAGATAGCAAACTACCTCCTCCTCTGGATTCCGGTCAACCTGGAAAAAAGATCGAGATCTCTAAACCGGCGGCGAATCTGTGTCGCAATGAGATCTTGAAGCAGTGTGGCGTCGACGTGCTGCTCCTTCTCAAGGAGAACGCCGCCATGACGAAAGAATACAAAAAGTCGCTCAACCAGATCCGGTCCTTTAATACGTCCCACTGTCTAAAAATTAGCTACGGGGTGGACGTCGTGGAGGAAATTGGGCTCGCGAGGATGACCAAGGGGCCGTTTAGCTCGCCCAGTAAGAACTCCAAAGAATTAGGATGTGGCGGAAACGCGGCTTGATAACGAAAAATGTCAATAATCATGTTTAAAAAATAATTCGTAACTCAACTAAATGGCCATTTTTGCTAACAACGTGTCAGGAATTTAATGGCGATTGTTGTTCATAATCATTAAAACCAAGAGAAATAACTAAACCACTAAAATTTGTGTTTTAAACCGTGCTCCCAACAAGACGGGGAATTATTAATAGCACAAAAGACAAAGATCCGCAATTGCTAACTTCCTACAATTTTGCCTAGGTCATATGCGACCTGAGCGACACTTACGTCCCGAACTAATGCATCCAGCCTTACGAGAGAAAGGTCAAGCTATTCCGTCACCTCGTGTTCCGAGGAGAACGATCGATAGGGAAGCAAGGGTAACAATTATTTTCATACAAGTCGCTCATTATCCTAATTAATTAATTAATGGATTGTCTCCTTATTAAAGCCCGGACCTGTTCCAGGAATGCGACCACCGATGGTAAATGTTTACTATTTACATGAACTCACAATGTGATACAACAAATCGACTTAATTCGCGACATATTTTAATTATTTAGGCTCAAGCCGCACACGTCCCAAATACTCCAAAGGGGTCAGGCACGATGGGAATTGTTATGCCGATGTATACTTTTGGGATAATTTGCTTCTTTGTCTACACCTTAATGAAGGTAATTTTATCACACAAGTCTTATCCCAATTTTCATGAATGTTGTTCTGACTTATATCTGCGTTACTCTATTTTTTGCATACATACATATTTACATATGTACACATGTGCAATTCTTTTATTAGCATTCTGTACTTATCTTCTTTATGTTATTCTACTTTCCTTACTTTCTATACTAGCTCGTTTCCTGGTATTTCATGGTCAATGTGACTTGCGACTATGTGTATTCGTGTCTCTGCGTAAGTTGGAATAAGTTTCGAAATCTTAGGGTGATTTCTACTAATTTATTGTATTGTAGTACAACAAACTTGGTTAGATTAGCAAAATACATTTAGATCGTGACTAAATCTGCTGGTATTTTCTGCTTTCGTGACTGATCATACTAAATAAACGAATAAAATACCCACTTTCACTAGTTTATACAAGTGAAAGTCATGCCTTTACTTTAATGGTTTTCGGACACAGATCCTCTTTAAAAAGCCGGCTGACGAGATTTCTCCTCCCGTGAAACCTCAACCCATCCTAAAAGATCTGATTGACCCAGACCACCGGAAGTATGGAGCCTACTCCTCCTCCGAGGATGCATACCCCAACGGATCCGAACGGTCGAAGAAGGTCGTAGACGACTACAAGCAGAAGGAGGATGCAAATAGGAGGAAGGCTTCGGCAGGTGCTGCTGCAGGAAAAAGCGACACTTTCAAGGGTCGACTAGGTAAAAAATCATCTCATAATAGTAATAATACCATTCTCCTAATTTCTTCGATCACAACTTCGGCTGAATTCTCGTAAAATTCAGCAAATACAGCAGAAAACCTCAGCTTTATATTTACTCATAAAACACGCTAGATTTGTAACCGTAAAAAATGTAACCGTTATTTATGTAGTATCATTTTGAGCTTCCTTTTTTCAATCACCACGGCCCAAAAGTAACGAACGACTCATACTTAAATTATTTACCCTTCGTAAAAAAAATATATAGTTGTACTTAATTCAGAGAGAGTGAAAGTGCCCACCCTAGTTTCGCAATTTTATGTTTTTTTCGCCAAACCAAAATCACCAAATAACTCGTAAAACCTGTAAAAAATTGCGATACCTGATTTTCTTAAACAAAGCTCCATCTCCTATTTTTTCTATACTTATACTCACAATCAATCATATCCAGAACGTGAAACAGTTTCCCAAGAAGAAGATTATTCCAAAGATGATGATGGCGACGACGAGAAGAGTGAAATTCACAATACTGATTCTTGGTCGCCGAATGAAACTACCACGTCGTCTTCTTACGAGCCCTCGTCATCATCTATGGAACAAGATACGATGATTTTAGCCGCAACGAAAAAAGCCGTACCTCCAACCTTGACCGTGCAACCACCCACTCCGTCCACGCCGCCTGTGGCGTCAGAAATTTTTGTAGAGCCGCAAAAAATACCTGAGGTTGCAACGATAATTGAGCATGACGATAATAAAACGACTACCACTACTACTCCTGGCGACGATAAGACAGACTTTTTCGTTGATAACCCTCCCCAAAACCCTAGCGATGAACGACTAACGCCAGAACAGCTAACATCCGCTGCTCTATTTTTTGATGAAACGATAGAAATTTCCGACGCTGATTTTGAACATGTTTCTTGCCCAACTGGAAAATTAGACGCTTCCCGACACGATGGACAACAAGAGGACAAAATTGACGACGAACTTTCACCCGTCATCAGTGCTACTCCACCTTCCCCGCAACTTGTCGAGTATGCTGGATCCTTGGCTAACCGCATTTTGGCCGATGCCACAAGTACTGTTACTGCTAATGATTCGAATCAAAACCAATTAACAGGCGTAGAACAAGTAGTTGACACAAGTTGTGTCACTAACCAAGAAATTACTAATCAAAATAATCAGGATGTGCCTTTAACTGATTTGCCTGTCGAACCTGACAAGAGTAACATCACAATTTCTACTAATCTAATAAAAGAAGAGAAACCCGTCACAAAAAAGATTACACCAGAAATTTGGAAATCATCCATTTCTCAAGAAGTCCTAGAATATGCAGAAGCTTTAGCTAAGAGAATTTTAAACGAGGCCAAAACCACGATACTTTCTTCCACACCTAAATTAGAACCACCATTAGATCAACCTCCAATCCCACCAAAACGCACAAAACGAAAGAAAGTAGGTAGCCTTGAGACTAAAAATTCGGCCAGTTCCATGAGCAGCAACGACTCCCCGTTGTCCACTCCTCTCATCACGCTAATCGACGAAGGTCGAAAAAATTCTGAGCCGATATTGGCCAACCAAAAAAAATCGGGGTTAGAAATCAGCCCGGTGGAAGAGGGGTCCGTCGTGGCGAGTGGGACGGTAGTAGACACCTTGGGAGGTTACGTTACCCTGGTGGATGACGAAGCGACCAATAGCATGAGCAGGCAGAAGAAGGCATTCTTAAAGAATTTGGGCTCTGGCGTTGAAATAACGGCGGTCGAGGAATTAGAAAAGCCAGCAGGAGATAGGTCGATGGATTCCAATGATTCTGTCATTACCGTCAAGGAGAGTGAGATTATGGTGGAGAAAGTAGAAGGTGGAGAAAGTAGGGGGAAAGAGCAGGTAGAAAAAGTGGTTGTCAAAGATAAAACTTTAGCGTCAGCAGAAGTACCACTAACACCGCAAAATAGTATCGAGTCAGCCATTCTAGATCACGTAGGAATAGTCACACCACCATCACAAAAACCTCTCCAAGACAGCGTCAATTTGACAGAAATGCTTCTTGGCACACAATCAGCACAACTTTCTCCAGACAGTAATACCTCAATATTGTTAATAAGTAACGAGACTAACAAACCCGTGGACGAAATAGCTCCAACTGCTTTCCCCCACGATTCGCTACAAGATCAGAAAATTGAGGTTTTGGAGAAAGTCGACCAACCAGATCAGAAAATTGAAATTTTGGAGAAAGCCGACCTACCAGATCAGAAAATTGAAATTTTGGAGAAAGCCGACCTACCAGATCAGAAAATTGAAATTTTGGAGAAAGTCGACCTACCAGATCAGAAAATTGAAATTTTGGAGAAAGTCGACCTACCAGATCAGAAAATTGAAATTTCGGAGAAAGTCGACCTACCAGATCAGAAAATTGAAATTTTGGAGAAAGTCGACCTACCAGATCAGAAAACTGAAATTTTGGAGAAAGTCGACCTACCAGATCAGAAAATTGAAATTTCGGAGAAAGTCGACCTACCAGATCAGAAAATTGAAATTTTGGAGAAAGTCGACCTACCAGATCAGAAAATTGAAATTTTGGAGAAAGTCGACCTACCAGATCAGAAAATTGAAATTTCGGAGAAAGCCGACCTACCAGATCAGAAAATTGAAATTTTGGAGAAAGTCGACCTACCAGATCAGAAAATTGAAATTTTGGAGAAAGTCGACCTACCAGATCAGAAAATTGAAATTTCGGAGAAAGTCGACCTACCAGATCAGAAAATTGAAATTTTGGAGAAAGTCGACCTACCAGATCAGAAAACTGAAATTTTGGAGAAAGTCGACCTACCAGATCAGAAAATTGAAATTTCGGAGAAAGTCGACCTACCAGATCAGAAAATTGAAATTTTGGAGAAAGTCGACCTACCAGATCAGAAAATTGAAATTTTGGAGAAAGTCGACCTACCAGATCAGAAAACTGAAATTTTGGAGAAAGTCGACCTACCAGATCAGAAAATTGAAATTTTGGAGAAAGTCGACCTACCAGATCAGAAAATTGAAATTTCGGAGAAAGTCGACCTACCAGATCAGAAAATTGAAATTTTGGAGAAAGTCGACCTACCAGATCAGAAAATTGAAATTTTGGAGAAAGTCGACCTACCAGATCAGAAAATTGAAATTTCGGAGAAAGTCGACCTACCAGATCAGAAAATTGAAATTTTGGAGAAAGTCGACCTACCAGATCAGAAAACTGAAATTTTGGAGAAAGTCGACCTACCAGATCAGAAAATTGAAATTTCGGAGAAAGTCGACCTACCAGATCAGAAAATTGAAATTTTGGAGAAAGTCGACCTACCAGATCAGAAAACTGAAATTTTGGAGAAAGTCGACCTACCAGATCAGAAAATTGAAATTTCGGAGAAAGTCGACCTACCAGATCAGAAAACTGAAATTTTAGAGAAAGCCGATGACACAAACATCTTAGACTCGGAAAGAGATCACATTGCGTCAATAATCGACCAAGTTATCGATCAAGCAGAGCAAGTAATCCAATCCCGGCCACCTGAGTTGATGGCAATCCTAACAAGCAATACTACCTCCGAGGAGAAACAGGAGGAAAATTTAACATCTCCCAACCTGGTTGAAGTTTTCAATTCAGAGCAACAAGATCAAACAATAATTTCCGAGAATATTGCGGCATCAGCGTCACCACAAATTACAGATTTATTAGAGTCAAATTCTACCCCTCACAATCCCCAAACTTTACTCGAAAACGAACCAGATTCATCCCTAGATTTCGAACTAGTTGAACCCGACGACGCCGAAATCGCTGCCATGTATTCCTTCCTCCAAAGTGTAAAATCCTCCCCACCACGTGACTCCAAATCCGAGATAGAATTCATCCCGGAAGTTCATCCCCTCTCCGTTCCACCCATAACGCTCGAATCTTGCACAAACCCCTTGAAATCCTCCACACTTCTCGCTACTAAAACCGAACCCCTAGTCGAGCAACAATCCGAAACTGGACCGGATGATTTCCCTCCTCTTATTTCCGACAAGGCTACAGAGTCCACCCTTGTTACCACCAGCTTAAAAAACGAATTAACCCCTTCTCAAAGTGTGCTTACAACAACTACCACCACGAAACCGGACAGCAATCGGTCTGCTAAACCGAATGAAATTACAGGTGATGCATCATCCCCCGCACAAGTCGTCACGCAAGATGTCCTCCTCACCAAGCCGGGCGTATCTGATAATAACGTGTCAATCCCCGCAGCTGGTGAAAGTAGTAGGAAAGAGGACGTTTGCTCACAAGAATCTCATCCTGGTCAGAATTTCTCATCTTCTTTTTCACATGTACTAACACGTTGTCTGTTTTTTCTGTTTTTTTCCGTGTGTGCTACTACCACTAATGGGGGACAGGAGCTCGAGATCGAGATGCCAGTAAGTAAAATATTGGCAGAATTATTGAATATTTGGTCCACTTTCTTCGTAGGTAGATGCGTGATATGCAATTTTTTGGAATGATTTTCCATACACTTTCTCTTTATTAAATATTTAGTTGCAGTTTAGTATATTAGATAATTTTCATGCCTGTTTCTTCTTCGTGTGTTTTTTTATATAAAAAATCGGTATAATTTTTCTATTTCTGCCTGTTTCCTTTCGTTATTTTCTTTTTAAATTTTTCAAACTTTCTAGCCGAATGTGAGCAGGGCTTTTTAGTGGAGAACTCTGTGGAGAGGGGAATTCTGTTAAAGATAAAAATGTTGGAACTGTCCTCGTTGAAAACGAATAATGTAGGCGAGGTAGAGATCGACTCGTTGCGAAGGCAGTTAGAAGAGACGCAACTGGCGATGGAACGCATGATCACGTCCATGGGATCCGATCGCCTCGCTATGTTGGCCAAAGTCCTTAAAGCTCAGGGGGTATGTTGTGTGTCCCTCTTAACTGATCTATCCTTACTTAAAAATTACTTGACACCTTATCACACATTAAATATGCCATGAAATGAGATGATGAGTTCGAGATCAACACACCTTACACGATGGGTGGCGAATGTAAAGAAATCCCCTGATTTTCTTGAAAAGTGAGGAATGTGAACCCCTTTTGTAAATGATTTTGCATGGTTTCTTGTGAAATCTGAAAAGAAATGTATGTATTGTGGGGACCGTAATTTTTTAATTTTCTGAATGCTCATCGATTCTTGTACCCGAATGCGATAATATATATAAATAAATATATATGCACCCTGCGCTTATCAGGACTAGGGCCAAAAACGCCAATTTTTTCCATCATTGTATTCGCCTTATTTTTTTCCTATACTAACTCTTTCACTGTTATGTATAAGTATTTGATTCTCTCTATTTGATTCATGTTCAAATTGTGACTAACAACTTAAAGTGACGCTTTTTGTGTTTAATTTCGTAAAAAAAATTATTCATACATATTTTCATAAATATGTTATCATCAATGACATGGTATGAAAACGGTATGGCATTATTTGGCTCTAGTTGTGAAAGCTGTGCAAGGAATTCTTGACCAAGTGTCCGCGTTGGGACAGCAAGCGTCGAAAATTGAGACTGATGAATTAACAAAGATATCACAAAAGAATGAAGAGTCTCGTTCTTCGTCTAAGCCGGAAAAAGAGGTTAGTTTAGCCCGTCATCAGGAATTTGGATTAAATTTGGATCAATTCCCCCCAGAAATTAACTCTCATCATTACAAATACTTTACCGTCCACCACACACTCACACTAGACACGATACACTAACACATTACATAAAAATATACACGAAGGAAAGAGGAGAGTTTCGGAAAATGAGACCCCATGTAATGCTAACCCAGGTGGACTTAGAACAACCCAAAGGCTCAATTAAGGAGGAAAATAAAAAATCCGAAGAGAAAGCAAAGTTGGAGCCGGAACGAAAATCTTCCGTGAAACGACATCCCAGTGCAGAGAAAGAGGTGACGTTCCAACTTCCGGAGGCCAAGAAACCGGAAGTGGAGGATGACGAAGAGGAAGAAGAAGTTGAGGAGGAGGAGGAGGAAGAAGAGGAACCCGTACGACCCCCAACGCCGCCGAGACACGGCGGTTCGAAAAAGTCGAAACATGTGAGTCGAATAAGACCTTATTTACTATGCATTTAGGTATGTAAATTAGTTCAGCGTGTTGTAAAAATGTAGTCCCAAATAAGTGTGCTTATTTGTCGCTGTATTTATAATGTCCTGTTGTTAACGTTCTTGTTTTTTTTACTTTACTATTCTGTCTCTGTCCTTCTAGTTATGTCGTTAAATTGGTGTTACATGTCAGTGTAGTATTCTTCTCCATATTTTATTTACAAATTGTCTCTTGTACCGTTATTATTATTTTCCCCCCGCTTTCTCCACACATTTTAGCTAACCATTCTGTAAACCGAAACTGGTCATACAATATTTACAATTGCATGTGTATTTAAACTATAAAACACATACATCTTAATGACAAACTTTCTCTGAAATAGGAATTAAATCCGTCTCATATTACCTCGAGTTTATCACTTTCTAAGAAAAGAGAAAGTCTGTCATTCTACAATTCTTATACGTATCCTTTCTTTCTCTTGCTTGTCTCACTCCTTGTCTGTATGTCATGTTGTCCATGTTGCCACCCCTCTACAACAGAACCAACACCTCAGCCCATCCACCACCACCACCACCAATGAGTCAACCACCAACCACACCCCCGTTCTTGTCCCCCCTGAACTTATCCTCTTTGCCCAACAACTATCCTCGCATATTATACAACAGAGTGCGGCTGCTGCAATCGCGTTGGCTAAACAGGCCTCCTCCCCACAATCTCAACAACACCGAGAAATCCTCTCAGTCCTCGGGATCGAAGAAACGGCGGAGATGGAGTCTGGCGAAAAGTGGGACGATCGAACGCCAACGCCCACCTTCCGAATGGCGACGCCTCCCGTGCCCCACCGGGCGCCATCTCCTCCGGAGGATATCCCCTCCATTTTTCTAGAGGGACCACTCCCCATGGCGGGACAGCAACTAATGGTCTCAGACTCCCAGGTGGAAATGGAAGGGGGAGATTATGGCGATGACTATGAGAATAACACGGCGCCAATAATCCTATCTGGGAAGGTAACCCTTTCAGTGATTTCTGGTGGGGGAGGTGCCCCCGACGAGATTACGGATGCCTCCTCCCTCTCGTATGATGACAAAGGGAAGAATAAAAACAAAACGGCAAGTCATACGTACTATTCCACTAAAAAAGACTGCATGATGTGTGGAATCTGATCGAGAAATCTTACAAGAATAACAAAATCATCCTCGTCCAAAAAAAAATCTGCAAAAAAAACAGCTAATCATTTCAAACACTAAATCGTAGCGAGTGAGTAAAATGATGGAGAAAGTAACACCAATCGAGACGACTCCACTTTCACTACTAAATTACTGACTAAATCACTACTATTTACAAGTCCTGTCCTACTTGCCTGTACTTATCACTAGAAATACTGCTCCTTTTATCTGTAACGGTATATTTTATTAGATTGATAATAAGACTAATACATGATTACTGGATTCTATGCGAGTGAAAGATGATTAGAGATTTTATGACTTAATTTGACTTATTATGAATTGTACAGGCAATAAAGGCAGAAAAGGGGCTCAGCAACGCGAGGAAAACGCCTGCCTCGACTAGTCATAAGGAGTACGAAGACATAAAGAAAGGTAAAAATGCATACAATTTCATACATACACACAACTTTTCTACGGTGAAAGTTTGTATGTACCAATACTCGTCCACCTAGTTGTAGAGGTTCAATTTGGGTAACGTTTTGATAACTACGTCACAGGTTTCAAAAATGACGAGGACAGCGATGATGTTGATCTTACGACATATTTAACGGGTAGGGCAATAGAACACTACTGAAAATGAGTGCAATAAATAACAGGAAACCAAATATAACAGTACAACTCAATATTATAAATAGGCACCTCTTACAATTAATTAGTAGACAAAATTGTTAATTGGTTTTTGAATTTATCCACTAATTAGACTAAAGTACAACACAGAATTACTAAATAATCAAATTAAAATGAATTGAGCAAGATATTTCTCATTGCATTTAAATGCTGACCAAAATTTGGTATTGCTATTTCAGCCGAAGCGGACAACGACGGGCAGAACAATAAGGAGGACACGGAAGGTGACATTTCCGTCATGGGTAAAATTGAAGAACTTCCCAAAGACGAAGAGTAATAACTGATGACGATCAAAGATTTTGTAAAATGACTTCAACAATCAACCTGAAATTACTCTTAACAACAAAGGTGGCGATACATAATATTTATCTACAGCTATAACACAGCTAATCATCGACTCTTCCTCTTATGTGTTAGATAATGATTAATTATGAGATCACGTCTATGCATGTACTCTTAATTTACCTGTGTAATTATTATTATTGGAGGAATAAAATTGTCCTTGACTAGTCAATCTCGTTATTTGCTTGCTTTATTTATTTAAATTTTCTTGTTTTACAGAATTCATTGAAGGGGCTTCTTCGATCCAATTAACTTTTACGATTTAAAACTTTGAATATGAAATCTTACTAAATATACAGCAGATGAGGACTCGATAAGTTCTCGAATAATAAGTCTCATTGCAGATGTACTGTAAAACGGAACTAATTAATTAACTATACTACTTAACTACGCTATTTACGTTTCTTCTATATATGTTGTTGTCATAAATTACATGCCGTGCCCAATCGCTGAGTATGTGCGCAAGTAAGAACAATAAATTCATATGTAACTAATTAACCAACATCATGTGAGAAGGTAGACCTTATCAAAATTGCCCACTTAAAATCATAAAAAACACTTGAAGTTGTAATCCTCAAATTTCTTATCTTTGCTACGTCAAGAGCCAAGAGGAAGCTGAAAAGTTTATCTGGGGTCTGTCATGAGGTTTCTCAAAGTTCCCCCAAAAACAAAACAAATTTGATCTTATGTGAGTGATAAGATAATGCATACAACCAATTCACATTCAAATCTGAAATTTACAACTTTGTAAATACTCCTCTTAAATATGTAATTAACTGACATTGCCAAATATCGTCTTTTTGTACGCGAAATTAACGTAACGATAAACTAACTTTGACCTGAGAACTAACTAGACTATGAATAAAATTCAATGCGGTTCAATAATAAGACGATAACTGAGACAGGCGAGGAGGAGAATTGTCAGATTTGACGGGTACATTTTCTCAGTTTTTTAAATTGTTACATATTTTACATTGTTGTACAAAGACCAAACTTCATAAATACCTTACTAGCTGAGTGGCGGAGAAACTAAAAAGATCATCGAATATTACATTGCAAAAAGTATAATACGGCTACTAATAATTTATCGACGGTCATCGTAATTCCACAATAAGAGTATCTTGAGGACTAAAGATGCCATTCATCGTGGTGGTCGCGACCAAATCAGCTAGCTATATACATGAAAACACAAATTAAATATAATTCCAAGGTACGAATTGGTCTGAGTGATGATATATATGCGGACTCACATCACGTTTTGGGTACGTTGTCAAAAATCGATACTCGTCCGGTGAAAACCCTTGGGTGAACAAGAAGTCAAACAGAACATTCAAAGTTGTAGATTGGAGAAATCTTCTCGAAATAATTTTTCCGCCAGGAAGTCGGCATTTTAAAGAGCAGACGGGATCAGTGCAGCTGGTGTCTGGCTCTGGGGGCAGAGTAGTAGCAATTTGATCACGAAGCATCTATAAAAATATTATGGTGTAAGTCATTGCATTACGTATTGATTTTATAGTAATGCCTGTATGCAAATACGCACCTTGGCTTGTTCAGCAGCTTCTTGGACTTTCATTTCCTCCGTCAGCTTTTGTTCTTCCATTGCGCGCTTGGCCTCATCTTTGGCACGATCAGCGATCAATGACAATTCGTAAGCTTCATCTTGTTCACGTTTTACTCGCTCTCTCGCCTCGCGCTCATCTTCGTCGCGAATGTCGGTTTGTCTCTGAGTTTGATACATTTCCGAAGTATTCATCAAATTGCCCATTAATTCATCTACGGTGGCCGCGTTCGGACCTATAAAGTGATTAAAAACACGCTTTATTTTTAAATGTGTTCAAAAGTATTTCATACAGAAATATACGCATACGTTGGCATAGAATTATATTTGCTTACTATAAATCACATTGCTGATTTCTGTCGTAGCTCGGACACGGGATACCACAATTATCACAGGATACCTTTCACGTTCTATACTGCGAATTGCACTCACTCCAGGAGCTCCAAAGTTCTTGTTCGCAGCAGCCAAGAGCCTAATAATTATATGAAAAATATGCTTAAAATAAATAATCCTCAAATATTATTATTATTAGATAACATTTTAAATTAATAAATACTCACAACTGCCGATTCGATTCGTTGGTAACGTCCCACCCCCAAATGACATAATTCCCCGTTAAATACGACACGACAGACTCGTTACACAGGATATGTTGGCAAAATACATTGGAAACGACGGATCCATCATGGTGCAAATAGATTGCCAATAACTTTCTCTATAAAATCATGACAGCAAGAATATTAGATTCTATAAACATTGCAATAATTAACTCTAGTATTGTTTAAAATTGTTACATTTTTGGCTGGCTGAAAACACGCTTCTTTCACAGCATCTTCTAGCGTTCCGTGGAAAAACATTGGATGACAAGAACCGTATCGAGCGAAAAAGTTGTCAGCAAACTGGATCGATCCTACAGCTTCGTCTGGTGCATTGTCCGGAACTACGATTTGTGAAATTGTGATCAAACCTTGCTCCATTCACATTGTAACTAATTGTCAAGCTAATCCTGGCTTACTAAGAAATCGTTGTGGTGTTGTGCTGACTTCTTGACTGTAGAAATCCTCCTCTAATGGATACGACTCTGTAAGGTCTTCCACGTCTGACGACGTCTCCGAGCCATCACCAAGCTCCATCATCTTGAATAATGAATTTAAATGTTCACTTTATTTTTACAATTTCTTCTTTCAAGAACCACGTACCCTTTTACTAAGATCGGCAGAAGAACTGGCAGCAGAAACTTGTTTTCGAAAAGATAAAGTATGACGAGGTTTATCCAGCCCGCATGCACTTAGTGTCTAATTTAGAAAAGAATACACCATGTTAACAAAATAAGTTGATGCTAAGGATACTTTAACTTACAATTAAAAGTTAGAACCTTACCATGGTGTCAGTAGTTCCAGTTGGCCATCCCGTCCAAACTTGGAACCGGACTGGAGTATCACTTACGTGGGACATGTCCTCTTTTACGCTACGGACCGTTGTCGAACCAGGAAAGTCAATCGCAAGCGTCTCGTTCTTTGTTTCATCGTTTATTACGAGTGAATATTTATCTTCAGTTTTTCTGTTTAATAAAATTAATAAAATCAGCTCTCTAAACCTAATTAGTAATCAAAATCATAATAATTCCAATTTTTATACCCGACACTATTGCTACTGCTGCTAGTCCCAGCCCCTGTAAAGTCCATGGCTGGACCGTTTGTGAAAAGAGACAAGTTTATTTCGTCAGGAAGACCCAAAGAGCCCAACTTTGCACCGTCAGATGGACATTTTGGCCATCCTTTTAGTTTTTGCTGACAAGGAGGGATTTCGAATCTAGTAGAAATTAATACCTCAATTAAATTTCCACATTAATAAAAAATGCAAATACATATAAATCGCTTGCAATGATTCGCTTACTGAGCATGAATGAGCGTTTTCAACGTGTCGACCGTCTCGCACTCAGCGAGCTTCGCCGTCAGCGCAGCCCCTGTGGTGTCTAACCGCACGTTAAATGTAATCTCTCTACTGCCTGCACCTTTTTTGGACCCACTGGGGCCAGATTTCATAAAATCGCTGCTCAGAGTAACTTTAGCACGAGAGTTTGACGAAGAACTACTACGGGGTTTTTCCTCTTTGACAAAGAAGGGTGTTTCTGCTGTTTTTGAGGATGTCGATGAGGAACTATTTTGTTTAACACTCGTAGTAGTAGCGCTTGAAGCTTGACTACTGTGACGAATGACTCCGTTACTAGGATTTCGCGGAGGAGGGACCAGTACTGCGTCGTCAGCTTCGTCGATATCAATTGTGTCTAACCCTGAAGAATCCTGTGAACAAATTGAACAAAAAATATGAGATAATGCAAATTGTAATGTTGAGAAATTAATTGAAATTAAGAAATTTACATGATCCATATCTAAGAATCCTCGAAATCTATTCACTGGAACGGATGGAAAGACTGGAAAACTTCGTTCAGAGGGTAACGTTTGAGTATCTTGTGGTAAGACTTTGTTGACGGCGCTCTGGAAGTTATACAAAGACAAACCATTTAATTTGTAAATATAATGTTACGCAAATCGCTAAAAATTACAATTTCATATTTGCATATCTAAATTTGATTACCAATTAATTACTCGACATATCATCGTTTGGACGGACAGCCAATCGAACGACTGGCCATCGAATTTAGAATTTAGTTTTAATTAACTTACTAGTAAATCCCAATTATTCTCAGTTAAATGAAGAATTGCCACTTCAACGTCATCGATACCAGTGCATGCCTATAATAAAACACGACTTACTATGACGATGTAAAAAAAATTGCTACATTTTCAAAATACCTGAAAATCTGTCAAAATTTCGTCACGCGACGACATCTTGGAATTTTTCCTTACCACGATCAACTCGAAATATATTCGATTCCAGAAATTAAATGAACGGATTACTAATCACCCAATTAGTTGATAAACGTTTCGACAATGACTCGTTACTTTCTTTCTTCTGTTTACTTATTACATGCCACGTCTCGTCTCGTCCTGTCCTGTTTTTCTCTTGTTCTTGCTATGTATAATCAAACCCAATTTAATTTTAACTCTTCCATATATAATTAACCCAATTAATCAATAGTTAGTCAATAACATATTTTAAATTATTTAGGCTCAAGCCGCACACGTCCCAAATACTCCAAAGGGGTCAGGCACGATGGGAATTGTTATGCCGATGTATACTTTTGGGATAATTTGCTTCTTTGTCTACACCTTAATGAAGGTAATTTTATCACACAAGTCTTATCCCAATTTTCATGAATGTTGTTCTGACTTATATCTGCGTTACTCTATTTTTTGCATACATACATATTTACATATGTACACATGTGCAATTCTTTTATTAGCATTCTGTACTTATCTTCTTTATGTTATTCTACTTTCCTTACTTTCTATACTAGCTCGTTTCCTGGTATTTCATGGTCAATGTGACTTGCGACTATGTGTATTCGTGTCTCTGCGTAAGTTGGAATAAGTTTCGAAATCTTAGGGTGATTTCTACTAATTTATTGTATTGTAGTACAACAAACTTGGTTAGATTAGCAAAATACATTTAGATCGTGACTAAATCTGCTGGTATTTTCTGCTTTCGTGACTGATCATACTAAATAAACGAATAAAATACCCACTTTCACTAGTTTATACAAGTGAAAGTCATGCCTTTACTTTAATGGTTTTCGGACACAGATCCTCTTTAAAAAGCCGGCTGACGAGATTTCTCCTCCCGTGAAACCTCAACCCATCCTAAAAGATCTGATTGACCCAGACCACCGGAAGTATGGAGCCTACTCCTCCTCCGAGGATGCATACCCCAACGGATCCGAACGGTCGAAGAAGGTCGTAGACGACTACAAGCAGAAGGAGGATGCAAATAGGAGGAAGGCTTCGGCAGGTGCTGCTGCAGGAAAAAGCGACACTTTCAAGGGTCGACTAGGTAAAAAATCATCTCATAATAGTAATAATACCATTCTCCTAATTTCTTCGATCACAACTTCGGCTGAATTCTCGTAAAATTCAGCAAATACAGCAGAAAACCTCAGCTTTATATTTACTCATAAAACACGCTAGATTTGTAACCGTAAAAAATGTAACCGTTATTTATGTAGTATCATTTTGAGCTTCCTTTTTTCAATCACCACGGCCCAAAAGTAACGAACGACTCATACTTAAATTATTTACCCTTCGTAAAAAAAATATATAGTTGTACTTAATTCAGAGAGAGTGAAAGTGCCCACCCTAGTTTCGCAATTTTATGTTTTTTTCGCCAAACCAAAATCACCAAATAACTCGTAAAACCTGTAAAAAATTGCGATACCTGATTTTCTTAAACAAAGCTCCATCTCCTATTTTTTCTATACTTATACTCACAATCAATCATATCCAGAACGTGAAACAGTTTCCCAAGAAGAAGATTATTCCAAAGATGATGATGGCGACGACGAGAAGAGTGAAATTCACAATACTGATTCTTGGTCGCCGAATGAAACTACCACGTCGTCTTCTTACGAGCCCTCGTCATCATCTATGGAACAAGATACGATGATTTTAGCCGCAACGAAAAAAGCCGTACCTCCAACCTTGACCGTGCAACCACCCACTCCGTCCACGCCGCCTGTGGCGTCAGAAATTTTTGTAGAGCCGCAAAAAATACCTGAGGTTGCAACGATAATTGAGCATGACGATAATAAAACGACTACCACTACTACTCCTGGCGACGATAAGACAGACTTTTTCGTTGATAACCCTCCCCAAAACCCTAGCGATGAACGACTAACGCCAGAACAGCTAACATCCGCTGCTCTATTTTTTGATGAAACGATAGAAATTTCCGACGCTGATTTTGAACATGTTTCTTGCCCAACTGGAAAATTAGACGCTTCCCGACACGATGGACAACAAGAGGACAAAATTGACGACGAACTTTCACCCGTCATCAGTGCTACTCCACCTTCCCCGCAACTTGTCGAGTATGCTGGATCCTTGGCTAACCGCATTTTGGCCGATGCCACAAGTACTGTTACTGCTAATGATTCGAATCAAAACCAATTAACAGGCGTAGAACAAGTAGTTGACACAAGTTGTGTCACTAACCAAGAAATTACTAATCAAAATAATCAGGATGTGCCTTTAACTGATTTGCCTGTCGAACCTGACAAGAGTAACATCACAATTTCTACTAATCTAATAAAAGAAGAGAAACCCGTCACAAAAAAGATTACACCAGAAATTTGGAAATCATCCATTTCTCAAGAAGTCCTAGAATATGCAGAAGCTTTAGCTAAGAGAATTTTAAACGAGGCCAAAACCACGATACTTTCTTCCACACCTAAATTAGAACCACCATTAGATCAACCTCCAATCCCACCAAAACGCACAAAACGAAAGAAAGTAGGTAGCCTTGAGACTAAAAATTCGGCCAGTTCCATGAGCAGCAACGACTCCCCGTTGTCCACTCCTCTCATCACGCTAATCGACGAAGGTCGAAAAAATTCTGAGCCGATATTGGCCAACCAAAAAAAATCGGGGTTAGAAATCAGCCCGGTGGAAGAGGGGTCCGTCGTGGCGAGTGGGACGGTAGTAGACACCTTGGGAGGTTACGTTACCCTGGTGGATGACGAAGCGACCAATAGCATGAGCAGGCAGAAGAAGGCATTCTTAAAGAATTTGGGCTCTGGCGTTGAAATAACGGCGGTCGAGGAATTAGAAAAGCCAGCAGGAGATAGGTCGATGGATTCCAATGATTCTGTCATTACCGTCAAGGAGAGTGAGATTATGGTGGAGAAAGTAGAAGGTGGAGAAAGTAGGGGGAAAGAGCAGGTAGAAAAAGTGGTTGTCAAAGATAAAACTTTAGCGTCAGCAGAAGTACCACTAACACCGCAAAATAGTATCGAGTCAGCCATTCTAGATCACGTAGGAATAGTCACACCACCATCACAAAAACCTCTCCAAGACAGCGTCAATTTGACAGAAATGCTTCTTGGCACACAATCAGCACAACTTTCTCCAGACAGTAATACCTCAATATTGTTAATAAGTAACGAGACTAACAAACCCGTGGACGAAATAGCTCCAACTGCTTTCCCCCACGATTCGCTACAAGATCAGAAAATTGAGGTTTTGGAGAAAGTCGACCAACCAGATCAGAAAATTGAAATTTTGGAGAAAGCCGACCTACCAGATCAGAAAATTGAAATTTTGGAGAAAGCCGACCTACCAGATCAGAAAATTGAAATTTTGGAGAAAGTCGACCTACCAGATCAGAAAATTGAAATTTTGGAGAAAGTCGACCTACCAGATCAGAAAATTGAAATTTCGGAGAAAGTCGACCTACCAGATCAGAAAATTGAAATTTTGGAGAAAGTCGACCTACCAGATCAGAAAACTGAAATTTTGGAGAAAGTCGACCTACCAGATCAGAAAATTGAAATTTCGGAGAAAGTCGACCTACCAGATCAGAAAATTGAAATTTTGGAGAAAGTCGACCTACCAGATCAGAAAATTGAAATTTTGGAGAAAGTCGACCTACCAGATCAGAAAATTGAAATTTCGGAGAAAGCCGACCTACCAGATCAGAAAATTGAAATTTTGGAGAAAGTCGACCTACCAGATCAGAAAATTGAAATTTTGGAGAAAGTCGACCTACCAGATCAGAAAATTGAAATTTCGGAGAAAGTCGACCTACCAGATCAGAAAATTGAAATTTTGGAGAAAGTCGACCTACCAGATCAGAAAACTGAAATTTTGGAGAAAGTCGACCTACCAGATCAGAAAATTGAAATTTCGGAGAAAGTCGACCTACCAGATCAGAAAATTGAAATTTTGGAGAAAGTCGACCTACCAGATCAGAAAATTGAAATTTTGGAGAAAGTCGACCTACCAGATCAGAAAACTGAAATTTTGGAGAAAGTCGACCTACCAGATCAGAAAATTGAAATTTTGGAGAAAGTCGACCTACCAGATCAGAAAATTGAAATTTCGGAGAAAGTCGACCTACCAGATCAGAAAATTGAAATTTTGGAGAAAGTCGACCTACCAGATCAGAAAACTGAAATTTTGGAGAAAGTCGACCTACCAGATCAGAAAATTGAAATTTCGGAGAAAGTCGACCTACCAGATCAGAAAACTGAAATTTTAGAGAAAGCCGATGACACAAACATCTTAGACTCGGAAAGAGATCACATTGCGTCAATAATCGACCAAGTTATCGATCAAGCAGAGCAAGTAATCCAATCCCGGCCACCTGAGTTGATGGCAATCCTAACAAGCAATACTACCTCCGAGGAGAAACAGGAGGAAAATTTAACATCTCCCAACCTGGTTGAAGTTTTCAATTCAGAGCAACAAGATCAAACAATAATTTCCGAGAATATTGCGGCATCAGCGTCACCACAAATTACAGATTTATTAGAGTCAAATTCTACCCCTCACAATCCCCAAACTTTACTCGAAAACGAACCAGATTCATCCCTAGATTTCGAACTAGTTGAACCCGACGACGCCGAAATCGCTGCCATGTATTCCTTCCTCCAAAGTGTAAAATCCTCCCCACCACGTGACTCCAAATCCGAGATAGAATTCATCCCGGAAGTTCATCCCCTCTCCGTTCCACCCATAACGCTCGAATCTTGCACAAACCCCTTGAAATCCTCCACACTTCTCGCTACTAAAACCGAACCCCTAGTCGAGCAACAATCCGAAACTGGACCGGATGATTTCCCTCCTCTTATTTCCGACAAGGCTACAGAGTCCACCCTTGTTACCACCAGCTTAAAAAACGAATTAACCCCTTCTCAAAGTGTGCTTACAACAACTACCACCACGAAACCGGACAGCAATCGGTCTGCTAAACCGAATGAAATTACAGGTGATGCATCATCCCCCGCACAAGTCGTCACGCAAGATGTCCTCCTCACCAAGCCGGGCGTATCTGATAATAACGTGTCAATCCCCGCAGCTGGTGAAAGTAGTAGGAAAGAGGACGTTTGCTCACAAGAATCTCATCCTGGTCAGAATTTCTCATCTTCTTTTTCACATGTACTAACACGTTGTCTGTTTTTTCTGTTTTTTTCCGTGTGTGCTACTACCACTAATGGGGGACAGGAGCTCGAGATCGAGATGCCAGTAAGTAAAATATTGGCAGAATTATTGAATATTTGGTCCACTTTCTTCGTAGGTAGATGCGTGATATGCAATTTTTTGGAATGATTTTCCATACACTTTCTCTTTATTAAATATTTAGTTGCAGTTTAGTATATTAGATAATTTTCATGCCTGTTTCTTCTTCGTGTGTTTTTTTATATAAAAAATCGGTATAATTTTTCTATTTCTGCCTGTTTCCTTTCGTTATTTTCTTTTTAAATTTTTCAAACTTTCTAGCCGAATGTGAGCAGGGCTTTTTAGTGGAGAACTCTGTGGAGAGGGGAATTCTGTTAAAGATAAAAATGTTGGAACTGTCCTCGTTGAAAACGAATAATGTAGGCGAGGTAGAGATCGACTCGTTGCGAAGGCAGTTAGAAGAGACGCAACTGGCGATGGAACGCATGATCACGTCCATGGGATCCGATCGCCTCGCTATGTTGGCCAAAGTCCTTAAAGCTCAGGGGTATGTTGTGTGTCCCTCTTAACTGATCTATCCTTACTTAAAAATTACTTGACACCTTATCACACATTAAATATGCCATGAAATGAGATGATGAGTTCGAGATCAACACACCTTACACGATGGGTGGCGAATGTAAAGAAATCCCCTGATTTTCTTGAAAAGTGAGGAATGTGAACCCCTTTTGTAAATGATTTTGCATGGTTTCTTGTGAAATCTGAAAAGAAATGTATGTATTGTGGGGACCGTAATTTTTTAATTTTCTGAATGCTCATCGATTCTTGTACCCGAATGCGATAATATATATAAATAAATATATATGCACCCTGCGCTTATCAGGACTAGGGCCAAAAACGCCAATTTTTTCCATCATTGTATTCGCCTTATTTTTTTCCTATACTAACTCTTTCACTGTTATGTATAAGTATTTGATTCTCTCTATTTGATTCATGTTCAAATTGTGACTAACAACTTAAAGTGACGCTTTTTGTGTTTAATTTCGTAAAAAAAATTATTCATACATATTTTCATAAATATGTTATCATCAATGACATGGTATGAAAACGGTATGGCATTATTTGGCTCTAGTTGTGAAAGCTGTGCAAGGAATTCTTGACCAAGTGTCCGCGTTGGGACAGCAAGCGTCGAAAATTGAGACTGATGAATTAACAAAGATATCACAAAAGAATGAAGAGTCTCGTTCTTCGTCTAAGCCGGAAAAAGAGGTTAGTTTAGCCCGTCATCAGGAATTTGGATTAAATTTGGATCAATTCCCCCCAGAAATTAACTCTCATCATTACAAATACTTTACCGTCCACCACACACTCACACTAGACACGATACACTAACACATTACATAAAAATATACACGAAGGAAAGAGGAGAGTTTCGGAAAATGAGACCCCATGTAATGCTAACCCAGGTGGACTTAGAACAACCCAAAGGCTCAATTAAGGAGGAAAATAAAAAATCCGAAGAGAAAGCAAAGTTGGAGCCGGAACGAAAATCTTCCGTGAAACGACATCCCAGTGCAGAGAAAGAGGTGACGTTCCAACTTCCGGAGGCCAAGAAACCGGAAGTGGAGGATGACGAAGAGGAAGAAGAAGTTGAGGAGGAGGAGGAGGAAGAAGAGGAACCCGTACGACCCCCAACGCCGCCGAGACACGGCGGTTCGAAAAAGTCGAAACATGTGAGTCGAATAAGACCTTATTTACTATGCATTTAGGTATGTAAATTAGTTCAGCGTGTTGTAAAAATGTAGTCCCAAATAAGTGTGCTTATTTGTCGCTGTATTTATAATGTCCTGTTGTTAACGTTCTTGTTTTTTTTACTTTACTATTCTGTCTCTGTCCTTCTAGTTATGTCGTTAAATTGGTGTTACATGTCAGTGTAGTATTCTTCTCCATATTTTATTTACAAATTGTCTCTTGTACCGTTATTATTATTTTCCCCCCGCTTTCTCCACACATTTTAGCTAACCATTCTGTAAACCGAAACTGGTCATACAATATTTACAATTGCATGTGTATTTAAACTATAAAACACATACATCTTAATGACAAACTTTCTCTGAAATAGGAATTAAATCCGTCTCATATTACCTCGAGTTTATCACTTTCTAAGAAAAGAGAAAGTCTGTCATTCTACAATTCTTATACGTATCCTTTCTTTCTCTTGCTTGTCTCACTCCTTGTCTGTATGTCATGTTGTCCATGTTGCCACCCCTCTACAACAGAACCAACACCTCAGCCCATCCACCACCACCACCACCAATGAGTCAACCACCAACCACACCCCCGTTCTTGTCCCCCCTGAACTTATCCTCTTTGCCCAACAACTATCCTCGCATATTATACAACAGAGTGCGGCTGCTGCAATCGCGTTGGCTAAACAGGCCTCCTCCCCACAATCTCAACAACACCGAGAAATCCTCTCAGTCCTCGGGATCGAAGAAACGGCGGAGATGGAGTCTGGCGAAAAGTGGGACGATCGAACGCCAACGCCCACCTTCCGAATGGCGACGCCTCCCGTGCCCCACCGGGCGCCATCTCCTCCGGAGGATATCCCCTCCATTTTTCTAGAGGGACCACTCCCCATGGCGGGACAGCAACTAATGGTCTCAGACTCCCAGGTGGAAATGGAAGGGGGAGATTATGGCGATGACTATGAGAATAACACGGCGCCAATAATCCTATCTGGGAAGGTAACCCTTTCAGTGATTTCTGGTGGGGGAGGTGCCCCCGACGAGATTACGGATGCCTCCTCCCTCTCGTATGATGACAAAGGGAAGAATAAAAACAAAACGGCAAGTCATACGTACTATTCCACTAAAAAAGACTGCATGATGTGTGGAATCTGATCGAGAAATCTTACAAGAATAACAAAATCATCCTCGTCCAAAAAAAATCTGCAAAAAAAACAGCTAATCATTTCAAACACTAAATCGTAGCGAGTGAGTAAAATGATGGAGAAAGTAACACCAATCGAGACGACTCCACTTTCACTACTAAATTACTGACTAAATCACTACTATTTACAAGTCCTGTCCTACTTGCCTGTACTTATCACTAGAAATACTGCTCCTTTTATCTGTAACGGTATATTTTATTAGATTGATAATAAGACTAATACATGATTACTGGATTCTATGCGAGTGAAAGATGATTAGAGATTTTATGACTTAATTTGACTTATTATGAATTGTACAGGCAATAAAGGCAGAAAAGGGGCTCAGCAACGCGAGGAAAACGCCTGCCTCGACTAGTCATAAGGAGTACGAAGACATAAAGAAAGGTAAAAATGCATACAATTTCATACATACACACAACTTTTCTACGGTGAAAGTTTGTATGTACCAATACTCGTCCACCTAGTTGTAGAGGTTCAATTTGGGTAACGTTTTGATAACTACGTCACAGGTTTCAAAAATGACGAGGACAGCGATGATGTTGATCTTACGACATATTTAACGGGTAGGGCAATAGAACACTACTGAAAATGAGTGCAATAAATAACAGGAAACCAAATATAACAGTACAACTCAATATTATAAATAGGCACCTCTTACAATTAATTAGTAGACAAAATTGTTAATTGGTTTTTGAATTTATCCACTAATTAGACTAAAGTACAACACAGAATTACTAAATAATCAAATTAAAATGAATTGAGCAAGATATTTCTCATTGCATTTAAATGCTGACCAAAATTTGGTATTGCTATTTCAGCCGAAGCGGACAACGACGGGCAGAACAATAAGGAGGACACGGAAGGTGACATTTCCGTCATGGGTAAAATTGAAGAACTTCCCAAAGACGAAGAGTAATAACTGATGACGATCAAAGATTTTGTAAAATGACTTCAACAATCAACCTGAAATTACTCTTAACAACAAAGGTGGCGATACATAATATTTATCTACAGCTATAACACAGCTAATCATCGACTCTTCCTCTTATGTGTTAGATAATGATTAATTATGAGATCACGTCTATGCATGTACTCTTAATTTACCTGTGTAATTATTATTATTGGAGGAATAAAATTGTCCTTGACTAGTCAATCTCGTTATTTGCTTGCTTTATTTATTTAAATTTTCTTGTTTTACAGAATTCATTGAAGGGGCTTCTTCGATCCAATTAACTTTTACGATTTAAAACTTTGAATATGAAATCTTACTAAATATACAGCAGATGAGGACTCGATAAGTTCTCGAATAATAAGTCTCATTGCAGATGTACTGTAAAACGGAACTAATTAATTAACTATACTACTTAACTACGCTATTTACGTTTCTTCTATATATGTTGTTGTCATAAATTACATGCCGTGCCCAATCGCTGAGTATGTGCGCAAGTAAGAACAATAAATTCATATGTAACTAATTAACCAACATCATGTGAGAAGGTAGACCTTATCAAAATTGCCCACTTAAAATCATAAAAAACACTTGAAGTTGTAATCCTCAAATTTCTTATCTTTGCTACGTCAAGAGCCAAGAGGAAGCTGAAAAGTTTATCTGGGGTCTGTCATGAGGTTTCTCAAAGTTCCCCCAAAAACAAAACAAATTTGATCTTATGTGAGTGATAAGATAATGCATACAACCAATTCACATTCAAATCTGAAATTTACAACTTTGTAAATACTCCTCTTAAATATGTAATTAACTGACATTGCCAAATATCGTCTTTTTGTACGCGAAATTAACGTAACGATAAACTAACTTTGACCTGAGAACTAACTAGACTATGAATAAAATTCAATGCGGTTCAATAATAAGACGATAACTGAGACAGCGAGGAGGAGAATTGTCAGATTTGACGGGTACATTTTCTCAGTTTTTTAAATTGTTACATATTTTACATTGTTGTACAAAGACCAAACTTCATAAATACCTTACTAGCTGAGTGGCGGAGAAACTAAAAAGATCATCGAATATTACATTGCAAAAGTATAATACGGCTACTAATAATTTATCGACGGTCATCGTAATTCCACAATAAGAGTATCTTGAGGACTAAAGATGCCATTCATCGTGGTGGTCGCGACCAAATCAGCTAGCTATATACATGAAAACACAAATTAAATATAATTCCAAGGTACGAATTGGTCTGAGTGATGATATATATGCGGACTCACATCACGTTTTGGGTACGTTGTCAAAATCGATACTCGTCCGGTGAAAACCCTTGGTGAACAAGAAGTCAAACAGAACATTCAAAGTTGTAGATTGGAGAAATCTTCTCGAAATAATTTTTCCGCCAGGAAGTCGGCATTTTAAAGAGCAGACGGGATCAGTGCAGCTGGTGTCTGGCTCTGGGGGCAGAGTAGTAGCAATTTGATCACGAAGCATCTATAAAAATATTATGGTGTAAGTCATTGCATTACGTATTGATTTTATAGTAATGCCTGGTATGCAAATACGCACCTTGGCTTGTTCAGCAGCTTCTTGGACTTTCATTTCCTCCGTCAGCTTTTGTTCTTCCATTGCGCGCTTGGCCTCATCTTTGGCACGATCCAGCGATCAATGACAATTCGTAAGCTTCATCTTGTTCACGTTTTACTCGCTCTCTCGCCTCGCGCTCATCTTCGTCGCGAATGTCCGGTTGTCTCTGAGTTGATACATTTCCGAAGTATTCATCAAATTGCCCATTAATTCATCTACGGTGGCCGCGTTCGGACCTATAAAGTGATTAAAAACACGCTTTATTTTTAAATGTGTTCAAAAGTATTTCATACAGAAATATACGCATACGTTGGCATAGAATTATATTGCTTACTATAAATCACATTGCTGATTTCTGTCGTAGCTCGGACACGGGATACCACAATTATCACAGGATACCTTTCACGTTCTATACTGCGAATTGCACTCACTCCAGGAGCTCCAAAGTTTTGTTCGCAGCAGCCAAGAGCCTAATAATTATATGAAAAATATGCTTAAAATAAATAATCCTCAAATATTATTATTATTAGATAACATTTAAATAATAAATACTCACAACTGCCGATTCGATTCGTTGGTAACGTCCCACCCCCAAATGACATAATTCCCCGTTAAATACGACACGACAGACTCGTTACACAGGATATGTTGGCAAAATACATTGGAAACGACGGATCCATCATGGTGCAAATAGATTGCCAATAACTTTCTCTATAAAATCATGACAGCAAGAATATTAGATTCTATAAACATTGCAATAATTAACTCTAGTATGGTTTAAAATTGTTACATTTTGGCTGGCTGAAAACACGCTTCTTTCACAGCATCTTCTAGCGTTCCGTGGAAAAACATTGGATGACAAGAACCGTATCGAGCGAAAAAGTTGTCAGCAAACTGGATCGACCTACAGCTTCGTCTGGTGCATTGTCCGGAACTACGATTTGTGAAATTGTGATCAAACCTTGCTCCATTCACATTGTAACTAATTGTCAAGCTAATCCTGGCTTACTAAGAAATCTTGTGTTTGTGCTGACTTCTTGACTGTAGAAATCCTCCTCTAATGGATACGACTCTGTAAGGTCTTCCACGTCTGACGACGTCTCCGAGCCATCACCAAGCTCCATCATCTTGAATAATGAATTTAAATGTTCACTTTATTTTTACAATTTCTTCTTCAAGAACCACGTACCCTTTTACTAAGATCGGCAGAAGAACTGGCAGCAGAAACTTGTTTTCGAAAAGATAAAGTATGACGAGGTTTATCCAGCCCGCATGCACTTAGTGTCTAATTTAGAAAAGAATACACCATGTTAACAAAATAAGTTGATGCTAAGGATACTTTAACTTACAATTAAAAGTTAGAACCTTACCATGGTGTCAGTAGTTCCAGTGCCATCCGTCCAAACTTGAACCGGACTGGAGTATCACTTACGTGGGACATGTCCTCTTTTACGCTACGGACCGTTGTCGAACCAGGAAAGTCAATCGCAAGCGTCTCGTTCTTTGTTTCATCGTTTATTACGAGTGATATATTTATCTTCAGTTTTTCTGTTTAATAAAATTAATAAAATCAGCTCTCTAAACCTAATTAGTAATCAAAATCATAATAATTCCAATTTTTATACCCGACACTATTGCTACTGCTGCTAGTCCCAGCCCCTGTAAAGTCCATGGCTGGACCGTTTGTGAAAAGAGACAAGTTTATTTCGTCAGGAAGACCCAAAGAGCCCAACTTTGCACCGTCAGATGGACATTTTGGCCATCCTTTTAGTTTTTGCTGACAAGGAGGGATTTCGAATCTAGTAGAAATTAATACCTCAATTAAATTTCCACATTAATAAAAAATGCAAATACATATAAATCGCTTGCAATGATTCGCTTACTGAGCATGAATGAGCGTTTTCAACGTGTCGACCGTCTCGCACTCAGCGAGCTTCGCCGTCAGCGCAGCCCCTGTGGTGTCTAACCGCACGTTAAATGTAATCTCTCTACTGCCTGCACCTTTTTGGACCCACTGGGGCCAGATTTCATAAAATCGCTGCTCAGAGTAACTTTAGCACGAGAGTTTGACGAAGAACTACTACGGGGTTTTTCCTCTTTGACAAAGAAGGGTGTTTCTGCTGTTTTTGAGGATGTCGAAGAAACTATTTTGTTTAACACTCGTAGTAGTAGCGCTTGAAGCTTGACTACTGTGACGAATGACTCCGTTACTAGATTTCGCGGAGGAGGGACCAGTACTGCGTCGTCAGCTTCGTCGATATCAATTGTGTCTAACCCTGAAGAATCCTGTGAACAAATTGAACAAAAAATATGAGATAATGCAAATTGTAATGTTGAGAAATTAATTGAAATTAAAAATTTACATGATCCATATCTAAGAATCCTCGAAATCTATTCACTGAACGGATGG